AAGCTTGTCTGGTGAAAATTAACATTGAAATATTATTTAGAATCCAAACCAGTGGAAACATGAAATAAAAATTGTGTCCTTCCTGCAGAGAGTGGAGCAGTTTGCTGCAGGGAGCCCTGGATGGCTGCTGCTCACTGAGGTGTCCTGCTGAATGCTCCACTTGTTCAGAGAGCTTAGTGCTACTTTTCTTCTCCCAGGAGACTTGGTGGGTCTGCAAGGTTTAATCCTGTCTTCATGACAGCCCTCCTCCTTGTCTCACACAGCTCTCAGAGCAGGATATCCCTGGGGCTGGTCAGAGCTCTGCTGCCCTGACTCCTTCAGCAGCTGGGGCGGAGGGGGGGGGTTGTCCTGCTGATTTCTTGGGCAAAGAGTGGGGATGGAATCCGCACGTTGCCTCAGGTTCCCTCCCTCAGTAACTAAAGTACTACACAACTGCTGTCGCTTCTGAAGGGGTGCGAGTTTACCACTGAGCCCTTTGCCAGTTTGGGACAAAGTCTTTTATTACATTAGCACAACCCCTGTAATATAAATGACTGGTCAAAGAGTCGTTATTCCTACATGTGTGAATGCAAGTGAAGTGGAGCGCTCCTTCCAGGTGGTGGAGCTCGTGCAGCGAGTGTTGTGGTTGCTGTAGCTCGCTGTTGTTAGTTACACCCTGCAGCTACCACCAGCCCACATGCTAATCGACCACTTAAACAAGGACATGTCATAGTCTTGCCCATCTTAATTTGCTGAAATAAAGCACGCGTTGCCTCCTGATTAAACTGTCTGTAAAGTGATTCTGTATCCATGTAAATAAGGTTGACTTCATAAAGATATTTAACAGCTTTTGTGCCTTGCTGCCTTGTTTGTTCCTCCAACCTTGTCTTCACCCCCTTCCCTCTGCCAGGAACAGAAAAGAAGGTCTCCTTTTGAACAGGAGTGGGTAGGCTCAGTGTCCTGAACCCCTCCCTGGGGGTTGTTACTGACTGTAAGCACAAGCAAAGACTGCCAAGGCCAGAGCGCTAATCGAGCAGTACCTTAAGTATGGCCAGGGGGAAGGGGAGGATGGTCAAAATTGCTTTTTAAGTGAGTCTTAAGTCCTAGAGTCGGAGAATGTTTTACTCAACTCATGGAGGCTCTAGGAGCCCAAAGGCCAGGCCAGAGCTGGGAGCTGTTCTGCTGACAGGGTACGCCACATAGTGACCACACACTAGCTGCATGATACGTAGAGTTCATTAAACAAGCACACTAAAGCCAGTAAGCACACTAAAAGCAAACACACTAATGTGAACTAGGTAAACATATAGTGAATAAGTACAATAAGGCAAATCAGAGGTGTATAAGTAAAGTACCAAAGAAAGTTAGCAATGCATTAGATGATTACCGTATAGAGAGAATAGAGATTAAGAAGAAACATATCACCAATTACCACTAAATCATCATGCAGGCCCACACTTCCAGCTGGGAAACCCCACTGCAGCCGATGCCAGGAGTCTCAGGTAACTGGGAATTCTGCCCAGTGCATCCATCCGTAGGTGAGGCTTCTCCCATGGCCACAAAAGGGTCCCACTTTATACCCTTAGAAAAACAACCAGCTTTATGCCAGATCTCTAACGGTTTACTCATGGGACCGTGCAGTTTCTCGTGATCTCACCATTGTCCACCCTGAGAGCTTTGGCCAGGCACCCCAGTGCAGACAAGTATGAAGGTCTGCACACCTAGGTTTCCCTGTCTCTTTCCAACAGTCACGATGAACACATACATACTCTGCCAAATACACTGCGGCAAACAACATCCTTTGTTATGTCTCTCAGTCATGAGAGGGAATCAACTCCCAGCTAGGTTCCCATCCATTACAGCTGTCTGGCTGGAGGAGTTGGGCTCAGCTACGACGTTACCCGGTGCAGGATGTCACTGGGCATTCCCCCTTCCCGAGCAGTGCTCTGCCTGGCCAGGTGTGCTGCACTGCCTGGGCCTGCTCTAGGGAGAAACAAACCCCAGTGTTTGCCTCCTGGGGAAGAGAGTGATCCTGGGGAAAAAAGCTGCCACCACCACCTTGCCACAGCGAAAACACCCAGAGTCACTGAACAACTGCCTCCCAAAGGCAGCGTGTAGCTCCAGCACTTCTTACCTGCCTGCAGCTGCACAGCCCGTCCTCTTGTCCTGGGTACGCTGGTCTGAACAGTCTTGTGGTTTAAACCCAGACAGCAACCCAGCAGCAGCAGCCACCCGCTCACCCCCATGTGCCCCCTCCTTGGTGAGATGGGGAGAAGAATCAAAAATGTAAAACCTGCAGGTTGAGATAAGAACATTTTAATAATGAAAGTACAATGTAACACAGGGAGAGAGGTACAAATCTAAAGGGGAAAATGAAAGACAAAATACCTCCCCAGAAGTAACTCGTACTCATGAATATGGATAACACACCACAGAGTAACTTGCACCCAGGAGAATTACATGACTGCAGGCAGTGAAGGCCTGGCTCAGCCCCAGGAAGGCTCTGTGGAGCCAAGAGTCCCACTCCTGCTACTCTGACTCCTGGGCCGTGCTCTCTGCCTGTGAGGAGCAGGGAACACATTCAGGCTTTGCAAGGCCTGGGACCTGGTTTGTTTGTAATTGGGACTTTCATGGACTGGCCGCTTGGACCATGAGGGCTGGGAAGGCTGCACCAAGAGCTGTCCCATGACTCCCACCCTGATGCCCTGCGGCTGTCCCTTGACCCCTTGCCCCCAGGCCATTCACCTGTGGTCCCAGTTAAAGCAAGCCCTGGTACCTGTGTGATTTCCTTCTCTTTGCTGCAGTGCTCCCAGCAGTTGGTCACAACAAAGGCTCCTTAAGCACCTGCCAAGGTCAGCTCCAGTGACATCATCCTGATCTGCCTTCTCAACCTCAGCTTTCCTCCGCATTAGCTCCTCAGCCTCCTTCATGGTGCTCCATGTCACCATGCAGACCATGAAGGTCCCATCTTCTGTCAGAGCCCGGGCCACACGCAGCCTGAGCCCCTGTAGATGCAAACCTGTTTAGAGCCCCGGCTGCCCACAGGGCCCTGATAAAGGAAGCTGGGGCTGTGTGATGGAGCTGCTGCATCCCACACTCTCTCCATGAGACAAGCACCAAATCCTTCCAACCCATCCTCAGGCCAGCCCCACCGCCTGCTCCCTGTGCTGCTGCTCCAGCTGGGCAGGTGCTTCCCAGCCCCCGTTGCTGCAGGGGTCCAAGCACTTGCTCCCCACTGCAGCAGGACTGGAGGCTGTGGCACAGACACAGGTCAACTTGCCTTGGTTTGAATCAGCTCAGCTGGACCTGACTGCTGTGGCAGGGGGGTTGTGGGTCCTCCAGTAACGGGCTTCCCGGCTGTGACCCGGCCCCTCTGGAGATGGACCCCAAGGAAATGGCTTCTTGTGAGGCTTGAGCTCCAGGACTGGTCCCAGATCACCTTCTGGCCACACGGGAAATCTGGGGTTGGATCAGCAGCCCAGGTAACACATGATGGATGTGTGATACACAGCTGCAAAGAAGTAACTGGGGTGTGTTAATTAACATAAATGAGTAATTGTGAAAGCAGCAGGTACAGCCCCAACTGAGGCTTCTGCACAGTCATTTCTGTTGTGAGGGATCTTGCGCTACAGCTTACCGGGAAGGGGGAGCTGATGGGACATCTCAGATGTCTCCTCCTGAAACACACCTCCCTACAGGGCAGGAGATGACCACAGACCAGGTGCTTGGGAGGGAAAAGGTTTTAACCCCCACGCAGGTGCAGCCCTAGGACTGGCAGGGAGCATGGCTCATGCTTGGCTTGGAGCAATCCCCGGGCACAGCCCAGAGTGGTGGCTGGAGTCGAGACTCCTGCTTACCCACCCTGACCCACATCAGCTCTCCACTATCAGCTGTCATTGCCTACACTACCATCTCATCTCTGCCATCACAGATTGGTTTAGGTTGGAAGGGACGTTAAAGCGCATCCAGTTCCAAACCCCTGCCACAGGCAGGGACACCTCCCACTAGATCATCTCTGCCATTGCCTCATCTCCACCATCTCCATCATCTCCTCTGCCATCATTGCATCTCCACCATCAGGCATCGACCACCTCCCAGCTAGATTTGATGAAGGGAAAGATGTGTAATTACAGATTTAGATGCAGCTTAGGGCTACCTTCTAGACATAGCCAGACCCCACCAGAGCAGGTTTCCCAGCAGGATGTGCTATTTTCATCTGTTTTCATCACTTTGCTCTTACTCTGACCTCTCCCAAACCACCCCAGCAGCAGGCGCTTTTGCCCCAACAAACAAGTCACTGGACAGTAAGCAGGCAGCAACCCCCCCCTTGGTGTGTGATTATCCCATTATTCCAACGGGATGTGCTCCCCCGCCCCATTCCTTGGACACTGCCACTCTGCCCTAGGACTCCGGGAAAGCAGAGCTGCACACCGTGGGTCACAGTGCTGCTGTGCCACCCTGCCCACCCGCCTCCAGCTCAGCATCTCAGAACCAGTAGGATTTGCCTAAATGTCAGCAAAACCTGGGTTAGGATTTACAGATGAAGGGGTTTGTAGAACACAAATGCAAACTACTGGTCAACACCACTTGCCTGAGCAGAGCTGGGGAGGGGAGATCCCGCCGGTCCCAGTGCTGTGGTGGCTCTGGCTCCTCAGGTGGGACACAGTGGTCCTTTGTGTGATGTGATCCACCTTCTCAGAATAAACTCCTAATTCGAGAAGGAATTCAGCAGTGGCAGAACAATGACTCTGGAGGAAGGGAAGTTTACTCCCAGCCTTTTATTCTGCTCTTTCAAGGTACAACTTGAATTTAGTTGTGGAAATGTTTCCATGCATGGCCCAGTGAAGGGCAGAGCTGATGCAACACCAGCCCCTTGCATGGCACTGGCCATGAGGGGGTTATGTATCAAAACCCTCTGCTCTCCCAGGCCGGGAGAGCTCCTGCTTTCTGTTCAAGAGAATTCGTTGTAATCTGGGTCCTGTTGAGCCTGATGTTACGGCTTTCTTTGGAGAAAGCAGCCATGGCTGGGAAGCGGTCACGCACAGAGCACCCCAGCAGGACAGACCCCAGGAGTCAGACAGATACGGGCAGTTCCTGGGCTGCTGCTTTTCAGGAGATAGATAGCTGCATCGATTTGCATAGGCAGCAGTGCTGTGCTGACAGGAAGGAAGGCTGAGCGAGACCCACAGTGCAGGAAGGGGTGAGGAGCAAACTGAAAGAGAGAAAAAGCCACCAGGCTGAACAGCAGCCGGTGGCAGGTGTCTGGGGAAGCCGGACCCACCTTCCCCTGGTGCTGCCCTGAACATCACCCTGGCCGCCAGGTCCCATCACATCCACAGGTCCCACAGGGGCAGGAGCCACCAACCAGAGGGGTCCATTTTCTACCTTGAACTTGAGCATACAGGCAAGGAGGAAGCAAAGCTCTGCGGATAAAGGGCTGAGCAGCAGCACGGAGGGGCTGCATCCTCCCACCGTGCTGAGGATGCTTTCTCTGCTCTCCTGCTCCCACACAGACCTGGGAGAGGCAGCACAAGGCCGAGGTAAGGTTGTGGTGGGGCTTTGGAGGGGTAGGGGGAGAAGGGGAGGTGTTGCTCCGGCCTCCTGTGTGGGCACAACTGGCTGCAGACCTCTTGCTGTGATGGCCATGTGAAATGGAGTCGCTGAGCTAACATGGCAGGGCCAGGAGCTGTTGGGCAGAGGTCCCTAGAATGGGCAAGATGTGGCCCCTTTTAAGAACTGAAAGGCCGCAAGAAGGTCTTCTGAAGTCTTCCCCAGGCTGAACAAGCCCAGCTCTCTCAGCCTTTCCTCACAGGAGAGGTGCTCCAGCCTTCTCATAATTTCTGTGGCCCTTATCTGGACTTGCTCCAACAGCTCTGTGTCTTTCCTGTACTGGGGACACCAGAACTGCACACAGTGCTCCAGGTGGGGTCTCACCAGAGCAGAGTAAAGGGACAGAATCCCCTCCCTTGACCTGCTGGCCATGTTTCTTTGGATGCAGTCCAAGATACATTGGCCTTCTGGGCGGCTGCAAGCGCACGTTGCCTGCTCATGTCCAAGTTGGGGGGTCCTTCATCACTCTGCTTAATTAACACAAATTAATAACATGAAATCTTTTCAGTTCTGCCAAGAGGCGGCAGCTACAGCCTGGCTTTGGGGTGTGCTCAGCTCGGAGGGATGGCTGGAGGGGATGGCTTGGCAAATGTCTGCGCGCAGCCCTGGAAGGGGATCAGTTCAGGCTGGCTGTATGGCAGAAGTGCAGAAAAGCTCTGCAGATGTGTCAGTAAAGGAGCCCAAGATTCCCTGGAGGAAACCTGGCATGCCAGGAAGTGGTGGGAAGGTCTCATGGGGCTGGTTTCCCTCTGTTCCCATGTCTAGGGGAGGGAGAGCAGGGTGAAGTGTTTGCTGTGCTGCTGGGGCTCAAGCTGCACTCAGACACATCACCCCAGACTGGGGACCTTTGATGAACCGGCTGTATGGGCAAGCCCCGCTGTTTGGAACAGGGGGAAGGTTTGGGACAGGGAGAAGGCAATGGCTGGGTTGAGGGCTTCTGTGAGCTGCAGTGGAGTGGGCATTTCTCTGCTCCTTCAGGTGCTTGGCTAATGATGCTGCTATTATATCAGATAAATGGCTTCTGGCACAGGATGGTGCCAAGTTCTCACGAGAGTCCCAAGGCACAGGGTGATGGATCTGTCTGGGCAGGGAATGGCTGCATTATGAAAACCAAACCCACCTCCTGCCAAGAGGAAGATCTGAAAGGTCAGGTAGAGCAGAGAGGCAGTAAGTATCTGCTGTGTCCAGGCACCTCCATGCTGTGGGCATCCCAGGACTGACACTCTGTCCTGGATTCCTTGGCAAACTGCTTTTTGTCCATGTTGTACTTCCAGGAGCAAAAGCACATGTATGTAATTAAAGCCAGAGATGAGCTGAAGATGATGTAGCTGAAGATGAGCAGAGATGTAGCTGAAGCAGCTACATCTAAGTCTGTGTTTTATGGTGTTGGTGCCAGGCAGTTTGAACCCTGGAACAAGATGCACATGGTGGAAAACACAGAGGGTTTTCTGTGCACACGGTCAGGGGCCTTTCAGCGTGGTGGTTTTGGCTCATAGGCACTGATTTTCAGCCTCTGCTCACAGGCATGGTTGGATGTGGGGATGGTGGGACATGGGAGAGAAGCTGCTGGAAGAATACATCAGCGTTGACTGGACATCCTCAGATGGGAGGACTTTCTCCTTGGCTGGGCTTCTGGACCACACCAGGCAAAAAAAGCATCAATGCCAAGTTCTTGGAAACAAAATCTGTCCCTGGGGCTTGCAGATGCCATTCATCCCACCCTCCAGGTTCCTGCCCCGGTGCCCCTGGGGACACAAGCAGCACAAGCCACTGCTGGATCACTTGTTTCTCTGCCTGCTGGTGGGGCAGGGCTGAGCACCTGCCCCTGCTTACTCCTGGCCAAGCACTAGGTGCAGAGCCAGGGCTGAGCTCCGTGCATGTAGGATGGACACGGACACTGCTTTCCAGTCTCAGGCATACAGAGTGTGGCGCTTCCCAAGGATGACTCCTCCCAGCAGCCTCGGGATGGGCTGGGACACAGCCTGGGGACACCTTGGATCTCTGTTACAGAGATTGGCTTCGACTGGCCACTACCCTTCAGACAGCTCTTGTAGAGTTGATCACGCCCTTCACTCTCCTAGGTTGCAGCCTCCAGCATCACTGGGTGGTCCTGGAGCTGCCCCCGAAACTTCTACTGGAAGCAGGACAAAAATCGCAGCCACTGCAGTATTTCTCTTGCTGCTTTATGTCTTCCGCTACTTTATTCTCTTGGTCAGATGCCTTTGTACGAGGTGACCCGCGGCTGCTGGTTTCTAGTAGCAGGATCACACTTTGAAGTGGCGTGGGAGGACACCATCAAATACTTTCCGGTCTTAGAGCAGGCCTCCCCCTACCAAAGGGCTTTTTCTTGTCAGCCTTGGTTCACAGAGAAAGGGCTGCCGGTAACATTGCTGCAAGCAGCAAAACCCCCTTTCATTTTGGTAGTGTTGCACAGCAAAGATGAGAGACCCGGGGGCTGCTTAGACTTAATTGGACTTTCCAGGCCAGTTACAGACAAGAAGACATCAAAGGTGAAAATTTCCCTGTGTATTACTCACCAAGCTCCTTTAATTGATGGTATCTCAACTGATGAAGCCACTGGCTGAGGGCAAAGAGCAAGGTGAGCTGCTGCTGCTGCCCTGCACAGCCCTCGTGTGGAGAAAAAGGCTCTGCTGTGGGGCCACCACCACTGCCAGGGGAGCACGTACCTCCACCACATGTGAAACCGGGGCTCAGAGCTGGGCAGTCGAGCAACAGTGAAAGGACCCAGGTTTCCCTCTTGGAGGGAAAGGTGGTGAGTGCAGACCCAACTACATCAGCACCCCCCCACCTCTATCAGGGCTTGTCATGTGTGAACCCACCTGGGCACTGGGGTGGGCCAGTGTCACCCCTTGAACACTTAACCCCCTCCAAAGGAGGTGCTGCAGAAGGGGCATGATGGGAGGTCAGCCAGTGTGGTCTGTGGGACTCAGCTCTGGGAGATGCTGTGCCTGGTCCTCACTCCTGCAGCCTGGCCACCACCTGCACTGCTGCTGGGGGCTGAACCCTCGCGCTTCTTGTGGGACAAATAAACCCCAGCATGGACCTGCTGCAGGAGGATGAACAGAACAGTCTGCAATGGAGACATTCCAAGCACCTTAACCTGACACCATGGACCTAACCATGAGCCAGAAATTCTACCCAGTTTCCCTGGTGAAGCTACATTTGTGCTTTCTCCCTTGTACCTGCACTGAAGCCTCCGCAGTGCCCGTGTCCTACTCAGGAGTGGGTTTGGGCAAAGGCAGCACGGGGAACTCCTTGTCTCTGACCACCATCATGGGGTGAGTGATCTAGAGCATCCTGTAGGCCAAGTGGAGGTGAGGAAAGGGTGCCATGCCAGGAGACAAAGGGCAATGAGACACTGTGTTTGCATTGTTTCTGTGTTCAGACAGCGCCTGGGGCTGAGAAGTTTCCATCTGGACACGGCCAGCTCCTGGAGATGACTTTGGGGCTGGTAGAGAAGCCATAGGTGAAGCTGGGCACCCTCAGGCATGGAGGCACTTCTCTCTCCATCTCTGCTCAAAAAACAGTTGGACCCAGTGAGAGGACAAACTTCTTAAAACTAAAACACCAAGCCCTAAGTGTGGTTTGGCAGCTGCCAGAGGGGAAGGATCAGGTAAATGCTCCTCGTCCAAGCAATGATTCACCAGTGTGAGACATTGCCTGGAGACCGCCATCCACTTTCAGCAGCTCCACTGCTGAAACTGAAGCATCTACAGAGCTCTACAACAGGATGTGGTGTTGGCTGTGCTCAGCAAGCCCTGATGGAGGCTCTGGATGGTGGTGAGGTTGGTTCAAAACCAAAACAGGCTCTTCATCACTCTGCTGCTGCCCCACAACTTCCTTCACAACACAGAGAAGAAAATGCATGAGTGGCTCACAGCCCTGCTGTCCCTCTGGTGGCACTCGGGTGCTTGCTGGGTGACCCACAGATGACACAGGGACATCATCAGGGTAGTTAATGCAATCACGCTGCCCTAGAAAGGCTCCAGCATAAGTGGTGATGATGAAGGCATCAAGTTCATGGCATACGAGGCAAAGATGCTGCAGTGTGACAGTCCTGGCTCTGTCCCTGTCAGGTCCACAGCACCAGAGACTCTGCTCTTAGCCAAAACTGATGAATGGACCTTTGGCTCAACCACAGTCAATGATACATTAGCTCAGGGTGGGCTCCCTTCCATGTTGATCTTGATCCTTTTCCTCTTCCTCCACCAGGAACATGGATAAAGGCTGAGGAGCCTCAACTGATGCTGTGAATCAGCCAGGTGGACACAGGGCAGTCCATGGGACGGCCGTGCTGCTGCCAACACAGTGCTCCTTACCCAGGGATCACCACATCACAGGAGGCCTCTGATGGACGGTGAGTGGTGGCAGGCAGCCAGAGATCCATCATCTTGGTGGAGTTTCATATTAAAAACTGGGACAAGGTGGGCACCAATGCGTGAGGGCAACAGCAGTTCCTATTCCAAGGGCTTGGGGACTGCTCTGCTGGCACAGGGGAACAGCTGTCCCCAAAGAGAAATTATCTTGCTCAGACTTTTATCTTTGCATGGGCTTGGTTTCCAGGAGACAATGTTATTTCATGATTGTGCTCTTCGGTTTCTTTGACACCAATTTTGATAGCTGCTGCCTTGACCAAGCAGCTCCTGACAAAACAGCCTGCACTGCTTTGGGGTACCATCCTCTCAAGGGCCTTGGCAGGTTGCTCTGGAGGTCTCTGGTTTCCCCACACTACCTTCGGAGTCAGAATAGATGCCCCACAGCTGCCTCTCCCCACCACCCCTGAGCAACGTGCCCAGAGCTTGTTCAAGGCCCAACTCCCCTGTTCTCCTGCCCCGCAGAGGCTTGGATCAACCGCTACCGCAAGCAGCTGGTGAGGTCCATCTCACCACAATTCCTGGAGGAGATCATCTGCTACCTGCGGCGGCTGGACCTGCTCACAGCAGAGGAGGCAGAGTGGGCGCAGGAGGCGAGGTCCCTGCCCGAGCAAGTGAGGGCTGTGGTGGACCTCCTGGCTGGCAAGGGCAGCTTCGCTTCCCAGTCCCTGCAGACCTTCATCGAGACCACCAATTCCCAGCTCTACCTTTACATCACTGTCTACGGTAGGCAGTCTACTTTGGATACAATGAGGGGTGTCTGCACACACATCCTTGCTATGGCCACTGGCTGGAGCACCACAAGATGTGCACAGAGCTGGGAAGCATTTACAGCTCTGATGGGAGTGTCCATGCAAGTGATGGTGCCATCGCAGGGTCTCTGCTAGGGAAGGACACAGCCAGGGGGTGACAAGGGCTCTCTGCCATGTCTGAGGGACCTTCCTCCAGGCCCCTTGCTACCTTCAGCACACTTCTATGGGCAGCCTGAGGAGTCTTTAATGTCCTCAATGTCCAGATCACACCATTCAGTCCCAGCAACTGGGCTGGGAACAGGGGGATGGCAGGAAGAGGACGGTCTGGGCAGCCCTGACCCCATCTGATGTGCCTACATCAACTTCATGCTCTCCTTGCAACCCTCTTGCCATATAAGGTTTTCCTCCTGGTTGGAAGGCTCCGTCCTTGGCTAGTGTCTGCAGCACCATTCTCTGATTGTCCAGCCTTAGCTGAAGGGTTTAAATACACTGTACCAGCAGCTGTTGTACCTGAGCCAGGTGAGCAGGACAGGGTCAGAGATGGTCACCAGGTTCAGCCAAGACTCCAACTCGACAGACAAATTCACGGCCATGAGGCATGGCTGAGGTCAAGCTGGGAAGTCAATCCAGAGGTCAGGGTCAGATCGAGTCAGGGCAAATGGGTTCAGACACAGCCCAATGGCCACCAGGCAAGTGCAGAGCAATGAAGTCCAAGACCAAGGTCCAGATCAGCAAGGTCCATAGCAGGCACAGGCATAATAGCACCGTAGACAAGTGCTCCTGCAACATACTTCAGGTAGTGGCTGAATGCCCAGGGCTGAGCTTAAACGGGCTCCTGGACCAATGGGTTGATGCTGATCAGTGCCATTTAAGCCTGTTAGTGCCCTTCAAGCACATACCTTCCTGTCTGAATGTAACAGCTCTGTGAGGTTTCCCCTCTGCTTGGGCATGGCAGAAAAGTGAAGCATATCTCAATTGCATTTGTGGTTACCATCCTCTTCCTCAGCCCAACCTCCCATTTCATTTTTCTCTGTGCAGAACCCATGGTGCAGAAGCACCTGGAGAGTCTCCAAAGCTACTATGGGAATGGCTTGGAGACGGGTTCCCTCCAGCGGCTCACAAACCTGCTGCTGGTGGAAGGTTTGACTGATATCCAGCAGAAGGAGCATGACATCCTGCAGATCGAAGCCACTAAAGGACTACAAAATGTATCCAAGAGCATTCCTCTGGAGAAGCTCTTCCTCCCTCTCTCCAAGTTCAGCATCCCACCTCGGATCTCTGTCACCATCGGAGTTGCTGGGATTGGCAAAAGCACACTGGTGAAATTGTTTGTCTACACCTGGGCAAAAGGGGAGATCAACAGAGACATCATCTTTGTACTGCCCCTCACGTTCCGGGAGCTCAACACCTATGAGAAGCTCTCTGCTGAGAAGCTCATCTGCTCGGCGTTCCCTCACATCACTGAGCCCAACTGCATCTCGGCGGGAGCCGCTAGGACCCTGCTGATCCTCGATGGCTTGGATGAGTTCAAGACTCCTCTGGATTTCTCCAACACAGTAGTATGCACTGATCCCAAAAAGGAGATCCAAGTGGATAACCTGATCACCAACATTATACGTGGCAACCTGCTGCAGAAGGCTTCCATCTGGGTCACGGCACGGCCCACAGCAGCCAGCCAAATCCCTGGTGGCCTTGTTGACCGGATGACAGAGATAAGAGGTTTTGCAGCTGCAGAGATGAAGGACTTCTTGGACCAGATGTTCCTAGACAACAAAGACCTATCTGGCCAAGTCCTGCATCACATCAGGGCTAACAGGTCATTACACGTCATGTGCACCGTTCCTGGCTTTTGCTGGATTTGTGGTTCCTCAATTGGTTATTACTTAAAACACAGCACTGATCAACCCCAAGAAACAACTGGTGTCCCCAAGACCCTTTCAGAAATCTACTCCTACTATTTTAAAATCGCTCTGAGCAGCAACTGGCCAGAAAAGCCAAGAGAAACCCTCAGGATCGAGCAGGCTGTGAACAACAGCAGGAAGATAGTGGGCAGCCTGGGCAGGCTGGCCTTCTACGGGCTGCTGAAAAAGAGATACGTATTTTATGAGCAGGACATGAAGGCCTATGGCATTGACCTCTCCTTGCTGCAGACCAGCTTGTGCAGCCGGCTCCTGCTCAAAGAGGAGATGCAGTCCTTCACAGCTTACTGCTTCTCCCACTTAACCCTACAGGAGTTTCTAGCAGCCATCTATTACTACACAGCTGCAAAGCGGGCAATATTTGACCTCTTCACGGAGAGCGGGATGTCCTGGCCCAAGCTGGGTTTCCTCAACCACTTCAAGAACGCTGTTCAGAGGTCGCTGCAGGCAGAGGACAGGCAGCTGGACATCTTTGTGCGCTTCCTTTCCGGGCTCCTGTCCCCGCAGGTGAACAAGCTGCTCTCTGGGTGGCTGCTGGTGAAGGATGAGCACAACAGCTTCAGGAGCCAAGCAGTCAGCTTCCTCCAGGGCTGCCTGAACATTGACCATGCCATCTCCTCGCGGGCAGTGAACACCATGCACTGCCTCCATGAAATCCAGCACACGGAGGTCACCAAGACGGTAGAAGAAGCAATGAAAAATGAGAGCTTGGCTGGGATGCTCACCCCTGTGAACTGCTCTGCCTTGGCTTATCTCCTGCAGGTCTCTGATGTCTGCATGGAGGAGACGAACCTCTCCAACTGCCTCACCTACAATGTCTGTAAGAGCCTTCTCTCCCAGCTCCTGTTCTGCCACAACCTCAGGTGAGTCCTGGTCAGATTGCAGGGGAAGCAAACAGGGATGGTAGGATGTGACTCAAAATCCTGGGTGTCAGTGGGAGACAGGGGCCCACCAACATTGTCTGTCAGCAAAGAGCTTCCCTAGGGCTGGCCATGGATCAGCTTTGCCTCTCTGCTGGAGTTTCTCCATCTGTGATGGGCAGATGTCACAGGAAGGTAGATTTTTCTCCACTCTGTTCTCCAAACACTTGATTTTGCTCTTCCTTTGTTTCTTCTCCAGGCTGGACAATAACCGGTTTAAGGACAATGTGATGGAGCTGCTTGGCAGCATGCTGAGTGTGAAGGACTGCCATATCCAGAAGCTCAGGTGGGAGCTGGCCCAGGGCAGATAGGCTGTTCTGTGGATGCAGAGCAGAGCTGGGGCACCTCAAAACCAGGGTGGGGGTCCTCTAGGGATGTCTCTCACACTGGCTGCCCTGGGTACTGTTGACAAGCACAGTCCCAGACAATCTCCTGCACCCAGGCATGGTGACCTTACCCTCACATCCTTGCGGTGCCTGGGCAGGCTCTCTCACTCAGCCCTCCAAGGACCACTGCCTCCTCGCTGTTCCTAAAAATTGGTGCAGAAATCCATGCATTATTCCAACAAACTGCTTTCCAAGGGTACAGCTGGTTGCTGGACACCTGAGGCTCTGCACGGAGCACCTGACATACAGAAGGAACAGGCTCTGCCTTGCCCCAGACAGAGGGATCCCCACTGTTCCCACCTCCCTACCCTTCTGAAGTGGCTGTGCAGAGTCTCCCATGCTGTGATCTGAGCTCCCTTTTCAGAACACCAATGAATTTTAAGTCTAGAAACTCCCCTTCCACCCTGTCTTTGCAATGCCCTGCCTGGGGTCCACCCCAGGACAGCAGACCTCAGAGCATCTACCACTTTGCATGGTTGTACCTCGAATCAAACATTCCTCATGACTTTCCTCTGCTCAGCCATCCAAGCTGCATTCTAGGACATGCCAGGATCCTCTCTCCCACCCTGAAAACACCCAATTTTTCCTTTTTCTGGGCAGTTTGGCAGAAAATCAGATCAGCAACAAGGGAGCCAAAGCACTGGCCAGGTCACTGCTGGTGAACAGGAGCCTGACAGCACTGGAGTAAGTGATCCCCCTTTACCAGCTCCTGTCACATACATTCCCCACCTGGAACCACTATCATGGCTGCAGTGGGGCTGGATCCCGCTCAGCCTGACTGAGCTGAGGAGGGCCTTCAGCCCCAAAGCCACTGCTGCTCAATAGGTGAACATAACTCTTGCAAGCTCCCGGCCTGATGTCCGAGCTCAGCAGGGCCAGAGACTGTGCCATGTGAAGGCATTTGCCTTAAACTGGGCACAGGCCACTCTGGTTTTGCTAATCTTGGCTTTTCTGTGTGTCTCACCACAGCCTGCGGAACAACTCCATCGGCCCCACTGGAGCAAGAGCACTGGCTGATGCGCTGAAACAGAATCAAGTCCTGCTCTCCCTGAAGTAAGTATCAACTTCTGCAGCACCTCTGGGGGCAGATCCCCAGGACAAGCCTTCTCCAGTCTCATCACGGTTTTCCCCACCCCCAAGGCCAGCATATGGGGAGACCCTGGACATAACCTGGTTCAGTTGTACTGGGCAGCAAGCATGAGTGCAGCAAGCAGAGACCAGGCAGCCCTGGGCCAGAGATGTTGGGATCCTCCTGCCCGTCAGCTTCAGTGGGTCCAGGTTGAGGTTGAGGTCCATCCCTCGCATGGGAGCTCACAGGGTGTTGTTACATGGAAGGAGATATCTTTCATGGGGGAGAAGGGAGTGAGACCCCTGGGCAAGGATGCTTGGGGGCCAGCTGCCCTTTTCACGTCAAGGACAAGGGCAAGTAAATGCTGTAGTGGTGGCCACTGCCCCTCACAGTCCCTTGCCCTGCTTCTCTCCCCTTGCAGCCTGCAGCACAACACCATCAAGGAGGAAGGTGCCACCTTCCTGGCCGAGGCCCTGTTTACCAACCACAGGCTGACGACCCTGCAGTGAGTGTCTGGGACCTGCTGTCCCCCCTCCCTGCCACTGAGCAGACCGAGGTGCCACTGATGGGGATGTGGCACCTGACATTCACAGGTACCTTCCTCACCTTTACAGCCTGCAGAAAAATGCCATCGGAGCCCATGGTGCCAGGAGAATAGCAGAGGCGCTGAAGCAGAACTGCAGCCTGAAGGAGCTGATGTAAGAGCACAATGAGGTGGAGGGATGGTGACACCAGCACCAGAGATCTGTGGGCAGGGGCTAGGCCATGTAGCACAGGCAGGATGGGCTCTGCCAGCTTTGCCCCAGGGTGTTCGTGTGGGTGAAGGGGGGCAAGGACCACAGAGCTACTTTTGGAGCAACCCTGTGGAGATACTCTTCATACCTGTGGGTATGCAGGGAGCCACATGAAGAACCAAGAGGACAAGTCTTCTTTCCAGCAGAGGCAAGCAGCAGGTCTCCAGGCCCTGTGGGTACATGTTAAAAACTACTTCAGCTCAAATCCAACGTACAATAACAGAGGTGCATGTAGTCTGGAAATGAGACTGCAGCAAGTTCATGCTTATTGCTGGAGCAGAAAGAGCCTGGGGGAGATGAATCCTCTAGCAGCAGATCTGAGCTGGTTACAGCATGAGTGCCAGTAATGCTCTTCCTCTTGTGTCTTAGACTATCCAGCAACTCAGTAGGAGACGATGGCTCGGTTGCCTTGGCCGAAGCTCTGAAGGTGAACCACAGCCTGCAAAGCCTCGAGTAAGCTCCCCTCTGTGCCCTGTCTCCTGCTTGCCGAGTAGGTCCCAGCCTTCTCACTCCACCACCATCTCCCACCTTTCACAGTCCCCTCAAACAGCCCCAGACTCTTCCCACATCTCTCCCACACCACATCCCCTGCAGGGGCATATGGCTGGAGCACCAGGGAGCAGTGTCAGACAGTGCTGCCACTGAAGGAGTTAATCCTAACCCAGATGATGATTTTTTTCTCTGCTTTTGGAGGATATTAGTAGCTTTGGGCCTTCTCCCAAAGGCTGTTCCCCAGTGGGAATTAGCTGACACAGAAGGTAACAGCAGAGTCAGGGTGGGATGGTGGGACCTTCATCCCCCTTGGGAACGGCAGCCAGAATGGATTGCTCCTTTCACCCAGCATAGAGAGCTGATGGCTCCTGGCCATGAGCTGCTGTACCCAAGGTCCATCACTGGCTTCCCAAGGCTTGACAAGGACACAAAATCCACAGGAACCACATGTCCAGCTGAGCTGGCAGCCACAGTGATGGCCAGACAATACTGTCCGAAGCACTGGCAAACCCACTTCTGCTCAGTGGGGCCAGTGCTGCTGTGGTGAGCAGGGAGTGCTGATCCTGGCCTGGCTGCTTCAGAAGTTGGTGCTTTAGCCTTGGCTTGCCTCCACACCTCCTGTGGCTGGGAGATGTGACACTTTTCACCCCAAACACGACCCCACAGCCTACCTTCAATGCCAGGACTGGTTCATCTTCACATCTTCCCCCATTTGTCTCAGTCTCCAGAGCAACTCCATCAGCAGTGCTGGGGTCACCGCACTGACAGCAGCTCTCTGCTCCAACAAAGGACTCATCAACCTCAAGTAAGTGACCAAAACTGGCCAAAAGCTACTGCTGTGACACAGAAACTTGTCAGCAACCTGGGTTTGTGCCTGTTTTTTTCTACAAGTACTCTGGGATGCTGAAAGCAGACTCTCTCCCTCCATCAGCTGTAAGCATCTTCTCTCCACAGTTAGATTTCTTCCCTTGGGACAGTATCCAGTCACGTCCTGCAGCGAAATGATGGCAGCACGATGGGAGGCTGAGAACAAGCCCTGATGGGCCAGCAGTGCCCACAGCTGTACGAAGCACAGGGAATGGAGATGCAGATGCTGATGGGGATGCAAGGCAGGCAGTCTGCCACCATTACAGTAGATGGTCTCAGATTCAGGGCAGGGGACAAGGAGTGGGAAACAGGCAATGTCATGCCTTGACAGCCCCATATGTCTTTCCCTAGCCTGCGGGAGAACTCCATCAGCAAGGAAGGGGGTCCTGCCATTGCTCATGCCCTGCGGACCAACAGCACCCTCAGGAAGCTGGAGTAAGTCTCCTGACCCACAGAAGGGCATGAATGCTGCTGCACAGTCACTGGAGCTGTCCCAAACTCTGTGTGTGACCTGTGTCCTCTGTCCCCTGCCTCTAGCTTAGCAGCCAACCTGCTGTACGATGAGGGCGGCAAGGCCATCGCTTTAGCGATGAAGGAGAACCGGGCACTCAAGTCCCTCCAGTGAGTTTCCCCTCAGACCTGGCTTGGTTTGAAGCTGCTTGCGTGAATGCTGGGCAGGGACACTGCTCCTGGGCCTCAGCCCCTCTAGTCTGTGAGAATGGCTTCCTTGGGTCACCCTTCCACGGGAGGTGTGCCATGCCATCCGGATGGAGCCACCATGTCTTACACATGGGTCACTTCCTGGCCTCTGCCACACTGGATGGGAATGGGTGGGTGCTGAGCCTGGAGGGACAGGGGCATTCTTGCCATCCTAAGCTTTACCTGTTGTTTTCTTCTGTTTGTAGCTTGCAGTGGAACTTCATCCAGGCAAAAGCTGCTGCAGCCCTAGCACAAGCATTACAGTCCAACAGCAGCCTGGCCAGCCTCGAGTAAGTGGGGACATGGGCAGACAGGTCCTGGGCAGCATCTTTGTACAGGGGCCTGCACAAGGACTCTGCCCTCACATTGCTCCAGGGGAGGTGGTTTTGCCTGCTGCCTCTTCCACGTGCTCCAGTCCATCCTGTGTTTTCATCACTTGTACCTGGCTGGGGATGCTCAAATGCATGTGGCCCAGAGTCCCCCATGCTGTTTAGGAAAGCCTAGCACACTGTGCCCTGTCTTGCTGCCCCTCTCCCTACTCCTGGATGCCTGGACCATGGGGAGATTGGCACTTGCATGTCTTAGCTTGCAGGAGAATGCCATTGGAGACGAGGGAATGGCTGCCCTCTCCACTGCGCTGAAGTTCAATACAACCCTGGCACATCTGCAGTGAGTATCCAGGCTGTGGCGGGGGCCTGGCATTGCAGTCTGTCTAATTAGCTTGTCCAATTAACACACCATGGCCCTCACGACATGTACTGAAGGTCCTTGCTTTCTTGCAGCCTGCAGGTGGCTTCAATTGGCACGGCTGGTGCCCAAGCCCTGGCAGAAGCTTTGATGGTCAACAAGAGCCTGCAGATCCTGGAGTAAGTGCTTGGTGGGGTCAACAAGTCCCCATGGCTGTGACACTGCTCCCTGGAGGTGTCCAGGACCCTGGTCTTTAACTCAGCATCCTACCAGACCTACCAGACTTGTCTTGTCCCTTGACTTGCTGGCATGGGGACACCTCTCCCACCTCCTCTTGCCCCCCATGGCTGTCACTCCTCACCGCCTGCCTTTCTCTGCAGCTTGCGGGGAAACTCCATTGGGGTGGCTGGGGCCAAGGCAATGGCCAATGCGCTGCAGGTGAACCGCAGCCTCTGCTGGCTCAAGTGAGTATGCTGCTCCCTGGGGTGAGCCAGAGCAAGCCTTTCCAGACCTTCCTGGAGGCCAGCAGTTCTCAGTGAGGCAAACCCCTGAGCTGGGGGCTTTTCCCAATGCCCACTACATGCATTGCCTCCTGGTAGCCACATCTCCCTGGCTGGGGCTTTCTGACCCTCCCGCTTCCTGCAGCCTTCAGGAAAACTCCCTGGGCATGGACGGAGCCATCTGCATCGCCACTGCTCTGAAGGGAAACCATGGCCTCACCTACATCAAGTAAGTGGCCACTGCACTGGATGGTGAGGCAGGGATGGCAGAGACAACAGGAACCGTCACAGGACCTTTCTCACTCCTGGCACTGCCCATTCCCAGCTGTCCTACAGGGACCTCCCCAGTGGGGAAAGGGACAAGGACACATTGTGCTCCTCCCAAGCACCATACCCACTCAGCTCATTTCTTCACAGTCCCTCTCTGGTGCTGCCTCTGTGGCAAAGAGCCACCCAAAAGCAAAATACACCCTAAAATATCACAAGAATGGTCTGGCTCAGCTCCCCCCAGAGGCATTCTCCAGAATAGCCCCTGGGTGGTATGGGGAGCGTACAGATGATGCTGGATGCTGGTATAAAGCTGGGAACATCTCTCATACTCATCAAGGATCCTGCTCTGCCTCATGCCCAAACCTGAACTCCTCTTTGCTCCCAGCCTGCAGGGAAACCAGATTGGCCAGTCGGGAGCCAAGATGATCTCCGATGCCATCCGGACTAACTCCCCCAGCTGTGTCGTGGACGTGTGAGGTGCCTGGCCACAGTGACGAGGTGACCCAGTGGTTCCTTTGGCCAGCATGGATTTACAGGGAGCTGCCTGGGCCCTGTCTGGCTGTCGTAGGGAGGAGAGCTGGGTTGAGGAGAGCTGGGTTGAGGAGAGCTCCTGAGCTACCTGGCACAGCCCAGGAGGACCGCAGCCTCTGGATCAGCAGCACAGGAGGGTCAAGATTCACTTGTGTTGAAAGCTGAAGGATATATGCCATGTCCCTGCTCATCCAGGCCCTGGGGGAGCCTCAAGGAAGCACTGAAATGCAAAAAGGAGGGAGGAGGGGGCAGATCCCACATACCAGCCCTTCTTGTGTTCATGGGTGACTTGCCACCATCCTGGCGACAAGGACTCCCTCCTGTGATCTCCATGGGGTTACCGCGCTCTGCACAGACCCTGTCCCACACCAGGCACATCCTGACCACTTGGAGCTCTGCTCTTGTCACAGCCTGAGGCACTGTGGGTAAACATTGCAGCCAGGGCTCCAGGACTCTGCTCTCAGCACCAGCTCTTCTCTGTCTGCCTCTGGCAGGGATCCCAGGAGGATGAGGTGAAACTCGGGCAGGATTCACAGCAGCCTCTTTTCACCTGCCTAAATACAGCCCAGCCTGCAGGTTCCTACGAAATCCCAGAGAGACAAGGAGAGGTTTGCTGATTCCTTGCTCAGATGAGAGTGATGCTATGGACCCAGGCACTTCAGAGCAGATCATAGGCAGTGAGTGCAACCTGTGCTGTTTGCCCTCAATAACAGGTTGGTGCTGGCCAAGCATGCCTGAACTGCTTGGTAGTCCTGTTCTCTATCAAAGAGACCAGCATCCCAAGGCACATGCATGGAACCACCTAGAAAAACCTTGGGAAATGAAGAGCCCTCACGATAGTGGGAGGAGGAGTGGGAGGGTGAATATAAGAGGAACAGCACTGCATGACAAGGACTGTCTCCAGCACATGTGTCTTGGTGTTACACCAAGACTGCTTTAATACGAAGTTCTGGCTCTCAAGATCAAGCTGCACTTCTTGGGTCTTGTGCTTGTGTCATCAGTGTGACCTTGGGATGTGGGGATGCGTCTTCCCAATGTCCCAGCTGCAGGCAGGGTCCATCCCTAGCAGTTCACCTTTCTGACAGGCAGCTGCTGGAAGCAGAGGTGCTGGGTGATGCCTTCGTGTATGTGGCAGAGACCCAGCAACTCTCCAGAAGGTGCCAGGTTTGCAGGTGGTCCAGTAGCCAACCGCCCCCTGAGCCCCTTCCAGCCACTGCCCCCTCTCCCTACCACACCCCAGCCAGAGCCCACACTGTGACATGCTGCTGCTGCACTCAGGGCTCAGGGACTGAGCAGGGCTCAGATCACTCAGGGACCTCTGTGGAGAAACCTCCTGGAGAAATGCCGAGCTGAGAGGGACAATGTGTACATATTTGGGAATAAATCAATTCTGAGCTGAGAAGATGCTTTGGGAAGCCTTCTGTTCCATTCCATTCAGGGTGCACTGTGCTCCGCTGCCCTGGCTGTGTACCCTTCCCCTGTGCTGGTGTGACAAGAGGCTCATGGCTTTTCCACACACTCCAACATGGTAACATGGAGTGATTTAAGTCCTACCCACATCTTTCACCACTATTTCAGGGCAGCTGAGGCTCAGGTCCAGCTCTGTGCAAAGCCTGTGCCTAACCCTGAGCTGAAACCTTACCTAAAACACCAACAGAGAGAGTGATCAACAATGCCAAGCCAGCTCCTGTGCCCTGGAGCTCCAGAAAACAAGGAGTTAACAACAATTTAGAATAGATTTCATGGATCTGTTCACCTTTGCACACGCCTTGCTATGCACAGACAACCCCAAGAGGAAAGCTCAAGTGCTCAGAGTGTTCATTTCCACTGCCTCCAGAGGTGCTGCTGCTCAAGCCTGGTACATGAAGCTGCAATGCTAACCATGGCTTGAACCTGGTGGCTGTTCTGGAAGGCAGGTGACATGTGCCCTGGTTCTGGGTACACAAGGTGTTAAGTCAGTGTTCTGTTTCACCCTACAATATAGGGAATAACATGGAAAACTAGCTCTGAAACTGCAACGCAGACTTGGGCACTGGGCCCAGTTTCATGGGAAGTCTCACAGGTCAGATGTATCTCAGCTCACAGGGAGGACCAGAACAGATTTCCTGCATAACACAGAGAAATGGTTTTGGACCAGGTCCTAAAAATCAGGACATACTTATCCCTTGGGAGAAGGATGTGTTGAGAACAACCACCTCCTCCCTGACTGTCACAGCACCACCCTAACAGTTCTGCAGGAGGGGTAAAGCACCATCTGCTGTGTCTGCTTTCTTTGAAGTGAGGTGCAAAATGCCAATTAATTTTGTAGAGTACAAGGAAGTGCCCTAACACCAGCCAGTTTAGCTCCAGCCTGTATGACTGTGTTTCAGCACATCACTGCACCCATGTATGTCCCATCACTACACAAAACCTGTGCTGCATTCACCTGTAAACTTTTGTCCCAGCTTGACATGCCATTTCAAGCTGTGAGCTCTGCTGATGGGGAACTGCCTTGGGTGCGATGGTTCCACCTTTGGGTTCAGCAACACGGAGAGATGAAAAAGCTCTTGAGTTTTCAAGTAACTCACATGTATTCTTTCCTTCAGTGCGGTAATGGAGGGGTTGGACCTGCCTCTAGGCTTCAGATGGAGGGAAAAGCAAAGTACTTTGCCGATGTAATAAAAGGGAAGAGCAGAAGAACAGCCAAAACACTCTCATCTACCCTCTTGAACATACACCAAAAAGAACTCTTCTAATCAAGCTCTGAATTCTGCTCCTGTGAAGACAAAATGTGACACTAAAGCAGAGAAAACACACTAGATGAACTCCAGCCCTTGTGTTCACCTGAATGGACCTTCACTGATGGCATCACTATGACTTACTGAACAAAAGCCCAAGTTTTGGCCCATTTGAGTGCTGAAATCTGAGTCCACCCCAGAAGTACCAGAATAATTAAGGGGCTAATTCCATACAGATTAAGTTATAGCACAGTCTCTCAGAGCACACAGGGACTGAAGTTTGAGAACAATTCCCACCAACACAGCTGAAATACAGAGAGATGCTGCACTGAAGGTGGTATTTGAGGACCCCTTCACTACCTTCCCAGTTTTAATTTCACTCCTTCAGTCTAACTGGTGCTGCTCTTTGTGGAGACAAGCCCTCAATTAAGTAAAGGATATGTTTAGGATAAATAGATTTAAGCCAAATTTAAAAACAATTTAAATGTATTCCCAGAACAGCTTTTCATCCAGTTTTATTAAGCCAAAAAAAAATCTGTTTGGACATAATAAAAGGCAGGGAAATCAAGCACATGATGCTCACTGGAGCATGAGTTTTGGCACTGCAATGCATGAGGGCCAGTTCTACTGCAATTACGGATATAACTGCACTCCACATTACTGTGATTCTTATTACAGATAAGTTGCTCATGATTTGAGAGTCTCAGGACTGGCAATCCATGTTTCATTTTCAAATTTAATGAACACTATTTAAAGACCCCTGAATTCATGCTGAAAAGACGGTGGAATATTAGCTCCTGGCTTGCATGCTCTCCAAAGTCTGTATTTCAAGACGTCTCCTACAGGCTCAGAAGTCATTATCACTTTCCTCCAGTGGCTCTGGTTTCCTTGCTCGGAGAACAAACTTTCTTGGTGAGATTTCTATGCTTTTGTCTTCCATATCATCCTCTTCCTCATCATCATCCAGGTCAATCTCACTATCCCCCGAGTCCTCCTGTAGGAAAGCAGAGTTCAAACCCAGCTCAGATCTCAGATGGCAAGGTATCTTTGCCAGCTCAGAAGTAAAGGCACTGCTGGTTGATGCTGAGTTGCTTCCTCCCCTGCACTCTTATCATGTACCTGCAGGCTACGGTGAAGGCTGCTTGTCTGGACTTGTGTGAATCCAGATTTGGACTTACTTCAGGGAACCGCAGCAGATTCTGCAAGAGTTTTTGTTCCAGCTCAGGCTGCTGTGTGCTGCTGGCCTTCCAAAACAATGAGGAGCCAGAGCTCAGCTAATGGCCCATAGGGGTTTCACCAGCAGCTCTCCATTTTGCTAGACAGTGGCTGCTTCACTTAATTGATTGACAACCTCCCTCCTCACCTCACAGGGCTGACAAAAGCGAACTCCCTGACTTCTACTGAATCTGGTATTAAAAACTTTGCAAAGTGTTTAAAGTAATACCTATTGAGAGACTGAAAAGACAAGGTGAAGTGAATGAAAATGAACTGCAAGAGAGAAACCCACCTGTGCCTTGGCGATGATCTTGGGTGTGCCTGGGGCAGATCTCCCCTTGGAGAACCAGAGTGCAAAAAACAGGGGAGGCAGAGTGGGGGGAAATACAAAAACATGAAAGAAAACAGAAAGAAACCAGCATGGGAGCAGGGGAGAAGGCAGCAAAGCCAGGCACAACTCAGGCATCATATGACACACCAACAAGTGACAGAGGCTGGGCATATAGCCGCTGGCTCTCTGATAGGCTGAAGCCTTCTCTCTTCTCAATTCCACAACCCAATTAACTCCTGGAGGGGTTCAAACCAGCCTCCCTAGTTTCCTTTCCTGACCTCAGACATGTGGATGCCTGCAAGGGTCCCTAAGCAAAGCCTCTCAACATCAGGGCCTGCTGAGGTGCTGTATTAAGAGGTCAGAGCCATGAGACAACTGAAGTGGCTGCAGCTGAGGGCAAGAAGAGTTTGAAGGCCTTGGCTTTCCACACCTGGATATGCCAGGGCTGTGCCAGAGAGGTATGTGCAAAAGTTGTGAACAGGAAAGTCCAAAGGGAAGAGAAACTGCAGAGGATGACTATCCAAATCTAGCAAGAACATGGTCAAGGACCATTGAGCAGCACTGTGACAGAGGTCACAACATCTTTGCCAACAGCACTGTCACTCCTGACCCTATCCAGAACTGGGTCTGAATGCCAAGGGCATAAATCATTCCCCAGAAGGCATCAAACAGCCTTAACCACATCCATGTGGCCCAAGCGAACAGCAGAGCATGATTTGCAAGTTCCTTTCCAGAGAAAAGGTGATGGGCAGAAAGGGCAGCTCATCCCTCTCTAGTAAGAGAATTAGCTCCCTTATTGCTCTAGTGCCTCCAGGTCTCTGCAATGAACACTCAGTAGCATTGCTTTTTTTCTCTCTTCTGGCCCTGCCTGAAGGAGAAATAGTCAGTGCAGAGCTTTGCAGGGCTACCTCAACACTGCCAGAGAGCTGTGGCAAACAGTGGGAGTTTCCTACTGTTCTTATGTCCTATAGAAGCGCATTCCCCTATCCACGTCCCTCTCATTTTTAACCTTCTCCTTGGGACTTTGGAATTGTGCTAGCTCACAACTTGCCCATTAACCCCTGCTTCCTGATCCATGGCATTCCTGCAGACCATGGGCTGTTAGTTATGCACTGCAAGCTGAGGGTAAAGCACAGGACAGAGATTGCAAGAGCAAACAAAACTGAAAAATGTGTTACTATGCAGATGAGCAAGCTGTCAGCTACAGGAAAGGAGGGAAAAGCAGGTCTAGGGCATGGAGATTCACCAGGTAAAAAGATGTTTCTCTAGCTGAGGAGAGGGATTTCATTCTAAAGCACTCGGAAAAGTTCTACAGGCATGTGGGATGGTTACTTACATCTTCCTCTGTATCTCCACCTTGCATTGTTCCCACAATCCGTACGCCAGTTCTTCCTGCAAGAGCAAAGAGAATCACCATAAAGCCTGGCTCAGGGTTAACACTGGGGGACAATGAAGGTATAGTTCTGTTTATATTTTAGAGGACCAGTCCAGTGAGAGGATGAGATCGCAATGCAGGTAAGGTCACCTCCCTTGCCAAGCCTCAGAGCTCAGGAGAAGGGAGAAGAGGGTAATGCTAGCAGTAATTACAGTCAGGTTGGTATTTCCAGAGCTACCTTATGCCAGTACAACAGTTCTGATAGAACAAGGGGCAACAGAATCATAGAATGGTTTGGGTTGAAAACGACCTTAGGATCATCTAGTTCCACTCCCCTGCCATGGGCAGGAACACATTATGAAACAGAAAATTCTATCTGAACACAAGAAACCACTTTTTTTTTTTTTTCACTGTGACGGTGGCTAAACACTGGAACAAGGCTGCCAAAGAGATGTTGTAGAGTCTCTATCTATGAAGATATTCAAAACCCAGCTGAGTATGGACACGCTCAAACCTCCTGTTTGAGCACAGGGGTCAGACTAGATGATCTCGAGAGGTCCCTTCCAACCTAATCAATTCTGTGGCTTGGCATATTCCTTCCTCTGCTTTGGTGTACAGAGAACAGAAGCCCAGTGGTAAGCCTCTTTGCTCAGATCCTTTCTGACACTCCAGCAGGAACCAACATCTCATAGGAAACCTACACAGAGTCAAGGCAAACCTTGAGAACTTCTTGTTGACAGCTGGATGTGTAGGCCTGAAGAGAGAGGTGGAGATTTCAGGGTTGTAGGAGTTCACTGTAAAAAGAGAACACGCTTGCACCTTGCTTCATTCCTTTTGGCTATGTAGATTCCATGTGAAGCAGGGAAGGTGCTGGCATGGTCTCCTGTGCTAGGAAAGGAGCTTGGAAGGCATTGGGAATGGGTATAGCAGAAATGCAACTGGGGAAATCCTGCATGTGGGCTGCTGGGGTGACTCAGCCATGCTTCCTGCAGCCACCAGCAGTCACTCAGCACCCAGCAGATGCAACCATTGCATGTCAACATCTGTTTATCTCCTCTTATCACTAATTTTCTCTATGCCAAATATAGATTTCTCTAACCTAGACAAATTATTTTTTATTTTTTTTTTACCATGAAAACAAAGCAACTTTTATCTTGCCACACCTCTTTTGCACCTCCCAAAGTACAGAAGACAGGTCCCTTTCATCTCCTTTGCAGACTGATTTGGGCTAGCTGTAGCAAAAAGCTAGCCCATCCAGAAGTCATCAAAAAAAACCCTGTTGTGTCAAGGCAGACAATTTAGAGGATCTTATGTCTTTCAATCAGAAGTGTCCCCTGTCCATCAGGTTGCTAATAACACCAGCAGTGGGGATGAAATTAGAAGATCATTCCTGGACAGAAGATCTCTCATCAAGCTTTAGAGACTTTTGCTCTAATTTACAGTAGACTAACCTCTAAATTTGGAGATGATTACAAGTCGCATTATTAGACGGCAATGGAACCACATTTTTGCCCTGCCTACAAGATGGCTCCAAGAGTTTAACTGATTTTGCTATGGAGAGGGCTCAGCATAAAGTGTTAGATAGGGAATTATTACCTCAAAAAGAGAAAGCAGCAGAGTGCTCCTAAAATTTACTCGTAAGACAAAGCTGACAGAGATCCTGAATAAAAAAGAGAATCAAGATACCACATAAGGAGAGATGATGAAACAGGACAGCTCAAAGATGCCAGGGGAAGAGCTTAGAGAATCTAACAGAAGGTCTGCAGATGCTGGATGCTGCTCTGCCATCAGTGGAAACATTAAGGGCATTTTACGGACATCTATCTGCTTTTATTTGGAGGAAGAGGAGGAACAGCTACTGCCCAGACTTTGATCCCTCCATCACTTAAGCCAGGCACATCTCTTTGAACTAGCGACTATGGGATCAGCAGGATTAGGCCCTGTAGCGCAACCCTGGGACACTCACAGGTGATGCCCTGGGATGCAGAAGGGCTGGAGCTCCAGCCTGTGCACTGTGCTGTAGACTAAAACAGGAGAGAAAGCGGTTTCCACATTGGTAGCAGAGCTTCTGCACCAAAGGCAGGAGCATTATTTTAACTTTCAGGTTTATAAACCCCCAGGTTTCTGTGTGTGGGAGCAGGTTGTGGCAGATTGCTGCAGAGCATTTCCGTACATATTGCGGGGGCAGGAAGCAGAGGAGTTGTCTGCACGGGATGGGAGAGCTGGCAGGTATTGGGGTGTTTATGGCTTTACGTTTCCTGGGCTCAGTTCAGCTGGGCTCAGCTTGCTGCAGCATTAGTGCTGCACTGCTCTGGCCACAGAGGCTCCTGCAGCTTGCACGTGCTTGACAGCCTGTTGTGTTTCCTTACAAATAATGTGAACTCAGCCAGGACAGGGTGTACAAAGTGATTATTGGGCAAAATGCTAGTAATGAACAGACTGTAATTCACTGCACCTTTGGATTCAAATCTCATCTCTGTGCACTGCCATGGTTTATAGCCACTGAGCCATCAAAGAGCAGAAGTGGACATGCAGCCATGATTTGAAGCCTGTGAGCATTTGCCATTTTCCCTCTGCATGTGATGCTTGCCATTGTGATAACCCAAGCAGCTGCCCGCAATGGATCTGCAGGACTGGAATGATTTACACTGTCTACCAGCAGTGGGTGTATGCTAACCCTGTGTCTGAGAGCAAGAAGCAACACAATCTGAGAGGTTAGGACAACCATGAAGGAAAGGTAGATTTGCAGCTGGAACATTTTGCTCCCATTTCAGAGATGTGCCTTTAGTTTCCAGCTCTTACTGCAAACTCAGAACATGAGCTCAAATAAGACACCTCCCCTCTGCACCACCTCCACACACAGAAAACTGAGATAAATCTTTTCCCTGATGGTTCTGATCTGTGTGCCCTTTGGGCACTGTGTTCTTAAGTATAAGTGTACCCCTTAGTGCCAGGCCCTGATCTCAATAGCATTCTCTAGGCATTGCCAAAGTACAATGATTAATTAAGCACACTTCAGCTGCTGCCCAGGCTGAGGATGCTCTAATTATTTCTCCACAAAAAGGAAATTCACTTGGAAATGAGTGAACTGGCTCCCATCATTACAGACCTACAAGCTCCCCTCCTTCTCCATCACGTCCAGTGTTGCAATGGCCACCACACAAGCTGAAAGTGCACAGAAATACCTCCTCCCTCTCAGGGAGCACTTAACTTTGCTGATACAAAACAGAGAATCGTAGGATCAGCCAGGTTGGAAACGACCTTTAAGATCACCAAGTCCAACTGTTCCCCAGCACTGCCAAGGCCACCACGAAACCATGTCACTGAGGGCCTCGTCTACAGGGTTTGTGAACACTTCCAGGGATGGTGACTCCACCACTGCCCTGGGCAGCCTGTTCCAATGCCTGACCATCCTTTGGGGAAGCAATTGTTCCTAATATCCAGTCTAAACCTCCCCTGGTGCAGCCTGAGGCTGTTTCCTCTTGTCCTACCCCTTGCCCCTTGGGAGAAGAGAGCAGCCACCTCCTGGCTCCATCCTCCTTTCAGGTGGTTGTAGAGAGTGATAAAGTGCCCCCTGAACCTTCTCTTTCCCAGACTAAACCCCAGTTCCTCAGCAGTTCCTCATCAGACGATCTCCAGACATACAGCCAAAGGCAGGTCTGTTGGGAGCAGATGCTGAAATGATGGGAGGAAGATCTACTTCAAGTTAAGACAAATTAATTTCTGTGAATTCCAGTCACAGCCCTTTTTCAGTGTTTCCAAACATACCTGATTGTCCCCCTTTCCCCAGCTACATGAGCCTGGTAGTATTATCCAGCAGCACATACTGGGTTCCACTTCCTCCAGTGTACTCACTTTGCTTTGTCTTTTATTCTCACCTGCTGCATCCAGATACAGATTTGTTCTTGCTGTGTTAAACAGTGCAGGTTTTCACAAGCACAGATTTTATCATCCAGCAGCAAATATACTTGGTACCTGGCTGCCAGCACATCATTACCACATGGATCCTCTGGGTCACTTCTGAGAAGGTAAGACAGCTGCTCCCTCACTGTTTGACTTTGGACAGGTTGTTTGCTGAGAAACATTCAGAGTTTTATAAAGCTGTCTTCTTACAATAATGACTAAATGGGACCAAAGCTGTTACTGCCACAGTTGTGGAATGGTTTCTGGGCCTAACAGGGCAAAACTGCCCCTTAACACCAACATGAGAAAACATAAGCTAAAGCATTTGGATAACTGGTTTACAGCAGCTGACAGATCCTGGCAGTCGGAGTCTCTGCTCCACACTGTACTAATTTACTATCGACAGACACAGATCCATGTTTTTTCAAGCATGGACCATTTCTCCTTTATTCAGTAGCATTTCCACTGCCTACCTTGTTGCAAGCACAGTGCGTGCCAGTGTGGCACACAGTGTGTGCCAGTGCCATGGCGTAACCCAATCTGTCAGTGCTGCCACTCAGAAGAGGAGAGACCCTCATGGTGCCAAAATGCTAGTCAGAACTCTGGTCCAAATGAGACTGGGAAGATGGACCTGCGCATGTCATCACAACATTACTTCAAAATCTGCTGGTTTTGACAGCAAGGATGAAACAGATCCACTTTAGTTCAAGGGGAGACCAGACAGGTTCTTAGGGGAAAAAATAATTAAAACCAAACAATCTACTGAGGGTGGAATAAATTCCTGGAAACCACATCTGGCTCATGAAGTCCTCATGGAGGTTGAAAAAGCTTGAGAGCAGGAGAGAACCTGAGGGAAGTTCCTGCATTCTTTCCCAGGCATCTTCTTTCAGCCAGTGCTGGAGACAGGAGACCAGGCTGGACAGACCTTATGCCTGATCCAGCATGGCAGCTTCTCCATTCCCAGGACAAGGCTTTGCATTCTTTACCCTGATGTCTACCCCATCGGCATGTAAACAACCATCCTGCTGCAAATTACTGGTTTATGGCCTGTTTCAGGCAAAAGGTTTCTCTACACTGAGTTAAGACCTTCAACATTGCCTGAATTTCTTTTTCTTTGGCTCTCTGACAAAACGAAAGTCTTATTCCAAATGCCATCACTAACTCATGGTTTGGCCTCAGGGAAGTCCATGCATCTCTTTTATTTGCGTAGCAGCCTCACTAATTTATTGCCAGACAGAGTAAAATTGGATGTGAATTTTTATTGACATTGACAATGCTTAAACTAGAAGTTATGGATGATAAATCAATGCATTCTCTAAGTTACAAAAGCAAATGATTAGTGACATAAGAATTGATTATAATAAGCCCCATCAAGGTGGAGACTTGCCTGTAATTGTGGTGTTTTATAACAAAGCAGGTTGTGGTTTCACAAACCCAGAAAGCCAGCATCTGTCAGTTTGGTGACTATCCTCCCAGGCATTTATTCTCGCCCCCATGCCTGCTCCCTCCATGCACAGAAACCTTCCTGGCTTCCTAAATCTGGGTCTGCTGTACAGTTGAACCAGAAGCATTGAACTCAATGAAAATACCATTTCCACAGCACCTTACATGCTTACTCCTTAACCTGCTACTGCCTACTCCTCTTTGTACACAGAGAATAAGGGTTTGATTTTCTTTCTGTACCACAGGAACTGGCAGCCTGTTGCGTGTCTCCCAGTTAACACTCTTTTCTGCTCCATGGGAGAATAAATCCTATACTTTCAAGTCTTCTAACTGGCTAAAAGAATAAAACCAGAAGCAATAGTCAAAGCTGCATTTACTTCAAATTTTACTGCGTCCAGACAAACCTAGTGAAAGGACTCTTGAGGGTTGATTTTTTCTCAATTATACCATGTGGTCTAATAAGAGAGATTATCTCTCCCCGTGAATCTTGCCTCTATAATGGCAAAACACACTGCTCACCTATTACAGACAGGGGGATGAAGACTTATCTTACAATATTAATAACCTGGAAATTAGAAATGTAAAACTAAAGCACAGCAGGAACGGACCACAGTGGACATTTCTCCTCAGACTGAGAGCAAACAGGGCTCACAAGCACACCACCATGCAAGAACACACAAAGCTTCAAAAGAAAGTGATTGAAATATTGTGAATAAAGTCAAGGAAAAAAAAACATCAAATAATACAAATAATATTCTTGTTGTGCTGCCTTAATAATTGAGTATATTCTAAATGCAAGCTACCTGTGAGGGTCATGAAGTCAAACATGTAACCTCACCATCAATGACAGACCTGGACCAGAAAAGCCCATTTACACCAGTGGAGAGGAGCAGATTTGAGCCTGCTCTCTAGGCTAGAACTGCTTGTCACATAGTGTGCACTCTGCATCAGGCTGGAGCTCCTCAAGGAGAGCTTTGGCCTGACTCATATCTTGACACAGTCCAAAGTTTTGTTCCTATGTTCTGGACAGAGAAGTATGGGCAGGACTGAGCAAGCTCACTCTAACACCAGCAGCAGAGATATCCCTAAGTTGAGTTTTCCTAAACAATAACTGCTGACATTTTGAATCAAAGCCAGTGGCACAGAGAGCCCACTATTAACCTCACAGTGTAGCTACAGCTAGAGCTACTGGGTAGATGCCCAAGGTGATGATGAGTAACCTCAGCAAAGCAGAAAAGTGAGACAACAATCCTTCTCTTAAGAGTCTAATGATGTTTGTATCCATCTCTGCAAGAAGAGGTTGCATTACAGCACTGTCAGACTGCAGTGTTTTGAGTTAGAATGGGGGAATAAAACCTTACTCCTTCCACAGGACCTGTCAGAAAGGCATCCTAGGAGCCAGTTAACACTCCTGGAGCTGCTTCAGTAGTTCACCATAGGTGAGAGACAGAAAGAGGACAGAGAGCTATGGGAGGCTTTCAACTGACACAGAGATAAAGGGAGTAAAGATCTGGATGGTGACTGTGTAGTAGCAAACAGCATACTCAGGGTATGCAAAAGTCAGGAGATAATTATCTGCCAGAAGTAGTTTACTGAACACTAGAAAGAGACCTAACAAAAGCACAGAAAGCAATCTAAACAGCACAGCAGAGGAAACATCTCAGGGATTTGAACCACTTGCTTTAAGTCTGACAAGCTAATGTTGACTCTCCATTCACCATAATTAATGATAACAAAATTATTCCTAGAAACAAATATACTAGCAACAAAATATATAACTTTTATTACAAAACTTTTCACTCCTTGTCGTGGTTTAAACCCAGTCAGGCAACTCGTTCACTCACTCCCCCCCTTTCTTGCCCTCCCCCTGCTCCCGGAGGGACGGAGAGGAGAATCGAAAAGAATGCAACTCCCACGGGTTGAGATAAGAACAGTTTAGTAACTAAGGTATAACACAAATCACTACTGCTACCACCAATAATAACAATGATAAAGGAAATAACAAGGGAAGAGAATACATCATCTCACCACCAGCCGACCGATAACTCGCCCCCCCCAGCCTGACCAAGCTCTGACCGATACCTCCTCCAACCCTGCAGTCTCCCAGCCCTTCCGGCTAACTCCCAGTTACCTCCTGGGCATGACGTGCTGTGGTATGGAATACCTCTTTGGTCAGTTTGGGTCAGGTGTCCTGTCTCTGCTTCCTCCCGGCTTCCCCTCCTCCCTGGCAGAGCATGAGGCTCACAAAGTCCTTGGCCAAACCAAAACATCGCTATCAGTTCTGTTCCCAGGCCGAAAGTCAAAACACTGCACTGCACCAGCTACCAAGAAGGAGAAAAATGACTGCTACTGCTGAACCCAGGACACTCCTAAAAGTGGTATTAAGAGCTCACTGCAGTCAGAACCCACATCACGAGATTATGATGCCTTTTGAGATAAAGCATCACACAGTTACCCAGTCACTTCCAAAACTCTGAAAATGTGTACAAACCTTTCCCTGAGAAATGGCAATGTAAAAATCCTTAGTGAATAGTAGTGTTTCTAGCACTTCTCAAGAATTTTCAAGTTTCATGAATAACACAAGAAATGAGGATAAAAAAATGCTTGAATTATATTAATGTGAGAATTCTGGCTTCTTCCTCTGGTCTCACTCAGAGAGAGGACAGCAGAATTCAGCTCAGAAAACCACACATCTCAGCAGTATTGTTCCATATCCAAGTAACAGGTCCCAGCAGAAGAAGTGGCACACGAAACTACACACCCAGGCACCCCATCCAGATCCCAGAAAGGCTTCTGCTGATGGTCAGAATCACTCACCACTAACAAGATCACCCAGAACTAACCCTATTCCTGGGTTCATTTTGCTTGATTATAGACTGAGCAGAGCATTTACTTCTCCACTAAGTGAAACACAGATCCTCAGAGGGTCATTTCTCTGAGCTGCTTCTGACCAGGACTCTAGTGGAATCAGCAGCCAGAGGTGGCAGCTCCACTCCACATGAACAGATGTCCTTCCCTGAAAGGAGTAACTCAGGTTATCCATTTGACCCATGGGTTAGAGGAATAATTCAGGTTATTCCCATATGACCCATGACTGTGTCAGTGTAGGTGGCTTTATGGACTTTCTAAAGGTCTCCTTTTGAAGAAGACTACTAGAATGAGTGTCAACAGCTAAAAGGAAATAAGTGCTTGCAATAAGAAATGGTATTACTTTTCTAAGGCTTTGTATAAAGCTACTTCAGGAATCTCTAAGGCAATATCAAAGAAGGATTTTCCTCATGTGGTACTTTTTTCAGTAAATAACCCTTAATTTGCTCCCCTGAAAGCGCTGTTTTCTCCACAAGACACTGTCCTCTTACAGCTCATGAGAACAGAGCAGTGCCCAAACCCTTCAGTGGTACAGGGCCTTCTTTCAATTTAGGTTACTCACATAATCCCAGTGTACCATTCTGAATAAAGGCAACTAAGGGAAGGTTCAAATACCTTGAAGCAATGTTCCCGTGGCAGTGTGCTGCTTTCTGGTCTGCCTGTCTTGCGTTTCACTGTCGGATCCATCATTATCTTGAATCTCTACATCAGAATCGTCATTAGCTGGTTAAAACAAAAACAATTGATAAGTATCACTCAAGCCAGCAAAACAGTCTCCACTCTGTTCCAAGATGAATGAAAAATGTAGTCTTAGGCAGACATTGGTACTACTGATGAGGATAGGTAAACAGCCAACGTCCACATCCTGAGGAAGGCTTCCTCCTTCACAGAAGTGCCAAAGAAGCATAGGTATAAACATTGTCTTGGGACAACCTTTGGATTGTACCATTACACGGTTCTGAATACACTCTCTGGGTACAAAGCATACGTACAGTCAGGAGGTGCTATTTCAGCAACTGATTTAAAGATAAAAACCATTTTAAAATGTTTGGAAAGTGTGGGCTTATTAAAACATTTCCTAGTCTTTTACCCCAGCATAAGCAATATCAAAACCTCTTAGACCCTTCACCTCCCATTTAACCATAGTTTAGAAAAACGCAGTAACACATCCCCAGATAAACAAAAATAGTTACAGCCAAACCCAAGAGAGACAGGAAAGCTTCACAAGATGTATGAACTTCTTCAGCTGTTTCCACAATCTGCCTTTGTTTTCTTCTTCCTATCCAAACTAAAGCCCTTCAGCTGAACAGAGCTGATGCTGTTTGGTGCTTGTGGAACTAGTGCTATGGCAAACCCACCAGCATCCCATGTGAGGTCAGCCCCCAGCACAGCAACAATAGCTGCTAATTATTTAGAGAAAAGAGGCAATTCTTTGCCAAGTACATTGAATTAAGGACATCTAAGCTGAGAAAGGAAATAACTGCTTTAATTATGATCAGTAATGAGCTGACACATCTTTCCACTATTTAATTATCAGACAATATACAAACATTAGGCATTTTTCCATCATTATTTTCATTGCAATACTAAGTTAATGACAAAATATAACGGCAAGGGATGTATTTGATACCTGGTAAGATTACAAGGCTGCAGCAATGTTAGAATCATAGAATCCCAGACTGGTTTGGGTTGTAAGGGACCTTAAAGCTCACCCAGTTCCAACCCCCTGCCATGGACAGGGAATTAGCTGCAATTTCTATTTGTGTGCACCTTCTTCTCTGGCAAGTGAAAGAATCACTCTCTGCCCTGTGACCTGAGTACTGTTTCTGCTTACCTGGTGTTCAGGAAAGTGAGTTTTTTTTCAGCCCTTGTCCACACAAACTCCTTGGGAAGAGCGATGTTGGGTCTAGATAAAGGATTCAGATTTGTGCTCTCTATGTTAAAGAACCAGACTATCTCATCTGCTACGGTTCTCACTGCTATTACTAGAACATCCTCGTTCTTGTTTTGTGGCTTTTATTTTTTTCTTCCTTTTTCCCCTCCCTTTCAGGCTGTTATTTGTCATGCAGCAAAAGGGGCCAGAGCCAAGGATGCTGCAGAGAGCCCTTATGATCACTTTACTAAACCATTTCCATTTTATCCCCATTAGCACTATCTGCTGCTTGCTGGGATCTCTCCAGACCATGAGTTGTCAGCTGAGATGGGACTAATGGAGCCAGTGCTCTGCACTGACAACCCAAAGAGGTCAACACAGCTACCACCACTTTGGGAACACAGCTTAGAGCAGGGAGGCAGCTCTGCTCTGGCTGGGAACATGACTTAAACATGGGGCTTGAATTTTCCATTTCGCTTCTCCGGAAAACCTTTTTCCTCTTTTTAACCTTTTGTGTTAACAGACTCTCATCTATAACACTTGAATACATTTCCCTTGAGACAAACCAGTGGTAAGAAAACAAGAATACATAGGAATTAATTCTTCTGGTGCTCCCACACCTGTGGCTTAGTGCTCTTCTGCACCACATGAACCCTTCCAGCTCCCTGCACTCCAGCCACTTCTGACCTATTTCAGCACGCAAAAGGAAACTCGTTTCATCGTATAATTCTCTACGGTATCTTTCTGTTGGAAAGTGGGTCTTGCAGGAAAATCCCACGGTAAGTGCCTTGCAATAGAAGTGATACCTACTGTAGAGAGAGAATCAGTGTCTGGGGGGCACCAAGCTGCTGCTCTATGAAAGGAACTAATTTAAACACAGCTTTTTTAATCCCTCACCTTGCCCTTTTCTTTTTTCCCTCAGGTTCTCCGCTATTCTCAATTCCCATCTTTCTCACACTGTGTCTTTTATCCCTCTTCCCCACTAGCTCAGATGTTGCAACTCTTGCATGTAAGTAAGTGAGGAAGCTGCAATTTTCTGCTGTTCAGCCCATGTGTAGATACCACAGAACATCCCTGGCAAGCCCCAGGGAAATGTGCTTGTTTTGTGCCCAGCTCTACTTTTTGTCTTCCAAAGCATGCTCAACAAGACAAGTCAGTAGTAATTATATGTCTAGCTTCCAAGTCCCCCTTTATAAAGCCTGGATTACCCTTCAATAAAAATGAAGAGAAGATTCATCAGATGAATTATCAACATATAAACCCGGTGCATTACTTTTCTACTGACATGTGACCTTGTTACAGATCTATAGTGAGAGTCTGGATTTTCTTTGACTAGTCCAGCTGGAATTCGGATGCACATAAGCTACCATGAAGCATCGCTATAGTGAAAACACATGGGACGATCCGAAAGTGGCACTGCAAATGCAAATTCAGCAACTGTAAAATTTCTGTCTCCAAGCCTCCTGCCCACCACTTGGAAAGGCACCGACCACCTTTTTCCACTTACAAAGAAATAGATATATTGCTCTATCCCAGCTCAACGGCTGCTATCACCAAGCCCAGCTCTGTCTGATCTACAATCCAAGTTATCAGCTGAGCACTCATGATGAGCCAAAATCCCAATGACACAGCAGCAGAGCATAGTGCTGAAAACGGGTTCAAATACGCAAGATGCAGACAAGATGAGTATAGGTTTCTTAGCAGGATTGAACAGCAGAGTAGTCCAATGCTGTGTGTAACCTGTCCTAGCTAGAGCACTATAGGGTTCCACCATCCTACACCCCTCATTGTAGATGCCTACTGCATTCAGTTTGTAACTAAATATTTTTGGTATTCATTAAAAGGTGACAATTCAGAAAGTTTCACTGAACAACATCTAGAAAGAAACCATTTGCAAGAAGAAGTCACAGCCACATCTGTTTAACAGAAATTACAATGCAACAATTACAGGCAGACAAGGAACATTCTTTATGGAGAAAATGCTGATTTTTTAGTATCCATATAAAGCAATTAAGATAATAAAGCATACTACTACAAATTCCCATGTCCTAGTACATGGAGTACACAACACATTCTACTAGAACTGGCTTATGAGATTTGCATGGGTTTACGTGAAAATTACTTGACTTTGCACAACAAACTCCACAACCCATGTGCCCAAATTTAGGCCAACGCTGCAGCTTAAGGTTGGTCTTTTAACAAGCTCCTGTATTTTTATTATGAAAAGGTCATCAACAGAACAACTCTACAAACTTGTTTGGCCCATTTTCCCACTGCTGTGGTTTACTCTACCACACAGAGAATTAGCTACAGTATCAGACTACCTGAGAGAGAACATACCAGGATATTAAAGTCTGCTTGCCTTACATTACAACATCGCCATTTCCTAAAGGTGGACTTTGGTCAGCTGAATTGGTTTCATTTAAAGCAGTCCAGTTGTAACCAGAATGTACTGTTAGTGGCTGAAAACTGAAAACTACTGCTCTCAAGATGTGTTTTGTTCCAAAGCACACCTACTATTCCCAGAAAAAGCCAGAGCTGATACCTGGACTGATAATACTGTACCTAAATGGTTTAATTTGGGGTGATTTGCAATGCTTGAAGGACAACCTGCAGTGTTTAATAAGTTACCAGTGACTTCATTACAGATTTGTTAGTTTGCATAAATATTCAAGTGAATGTATCCAAGTGTAAAATAGGAAGGTACTGTGAGAAGATAATGAGCACAAAGGACATCCTTTATTGATATACTTTAGCATGTTCACTTTCCTAATAGAAGTCCCTGCTCTGAAACACAGGCACTGGCTCCACAGCAATTACTGGAGTCAGCAGGATGTTGATTTTGGTGAAAAAGCATCATGAAAACACAATCAAGTGGGCAACTGACAGCCACTTGAGCCAGGATAAAACCCATGTAATAAATTGCAGGAAATTTTAGAGCAGGGAAAAAAAAAGGATCAATTGAGATTTTAATGGGACTGAAGGGAGAGTGAAGTTCAGCACCCACATGAAAGCCTTGGTTCTACCAAATCCATACTCTTGTCTCACCAAACACAAGAGCATCAGGCTGTGTATCAGCCTGAACACTTCTACATTCACAGCTCTGCAACTTGCACAGAAAGAAATGCTTTGGTACATAAATTCTATTGGGAATGTCCTTTGTTCTTAGCACAGAACTGAGATCCTTCATCTAACCTCTAAGAAAAACTCATCCTGGTGCTGAGAGCTGCTAATCAAGATTCAGACACTTGCGGTTCTAACTTCATCAGAAAGCTTGGATAGTCAGACCTGCCTGTGCAGACTGGGAAACAAACCCGTTGCTGGTTCACAAACCAATAGCCCCCAAACACCAGGTCCAAGTGCACTGTCTTACCTTGCCTAGTCATCTTAAAAGGATCTGTTGCTACAGTATCCAGTAAGGACGATTAACTGCTGCCCAAGGAAGCAATAGGTCTCTGTCACGTAAAATAATTAAAAGTAACTCTGGCTGACAAGTTCCATTTAAGCTGGGATTTGGATTCCTGGCACAGGAGTAAGTAGCTACTTTAATTTTTAGCCCATTTTATAGAGAGGTCATATTCAGTGACCAGAACTATTTCTAAATAGTTCTTTCTTAAAAGCCAAGAATCCATCAAAGTATTATTAAATTAGAACATGTATTTGCAATTATTTAACAAGCAAAACACAAGACCATTAGGGTCTGTGCCAAGTGTCTGTTACAGAAGATAAATGGTCTGAGCATCCTGCTGGTGACAGTGCTGAGCATCATTCAGGCATCCGGCCCTTGTGGGAATCACCCAGCAGCGCAGTGTTACACCTCAAATGCTGCAGTTGTTGCAATGGAGCTTTTTGTTTCTCTGTTGTCAGATTTTAAAGCATCAGTTCTGGAGTGGAAATGATACACTCAGATTCAGTGCACCACCAAACTGCAAGAGACTCATGTAATTTGTTATCCAAAGCACAACATCTATTTGCTCTGTTTAATGGAGGAAGGCGATGCACATTTTAGTTGGCCATCAGAAAAGCAAGAGTTAGCTCAGCAAGTAGAGCTGGCCAAGGAAACATTCTGGCTGTGTACAGAGCAGAACTGAAGCTCTCCAGGAGCATCAGTTAACCCTGTTGCTGAACACTATAGAAGTAGTGCAAATACTATTATAGAAGTAGTGCAAACTCCAAAATGCTGTGTTACACAAATGTCTACTCATTCTACAGACCAAGCAAGAGCACAGAGGGACTGGAGTGGCACAGGCAATAAAAAAAAAAGCAGTTTTACAGCAAATACTTTTGCAACATGAAATTAAATCCTGGATATAGCACTGCTCACAGGAAACACAGGAAATATTTTTTAAAATTTCAAGGGGTTTATTTTTATACTTTCAAAGCAAAAATATTTTACTTTTTAAAAAAGCTATAGTTAACATAGTCTGCTTTTGAACTGACAAAAAAAAAACTTCAAAAGAAAGCATGTGGGAAAACGCACATGAAATAGCGTAAGCAGGTGAGAATGAAAATAAATGTAATAAGCTGATTAGTCTGAAAAATATGTACTTCAGGCTAGAAACACAGCTGTTACTTTTTGCTCCACAAACAGGCTTTGTCTACCTTGGATGAACTGGAAAAAACAGTTCAAATTTCTGGTGTGGCCAGTGACCTTCCAAGCCCTCTCTTCTCACACCAAACCAGAGCACCTCCTCATGTACCTACACCTGATAGCTCTGTCAACAGCCTCCACAGTGCTCATCTGAGCAGCATCTGATAGAATGTTTGAAGAGTCTCTGTGCCATTAACCACAAGAAAACCAAGCCCTGAGCTTCAGTCAGTGGGCATTTGTTCATTTGTACCAGCCTTGGATGCAGCACAAGAGCAGCACTGCATGAAAAACACCACATTGTGTGCTGGTTTCTCTAAGAGCATCTTACGTGAAATAAAGATAAAAATAAAAGCAATTTACTTACTGCTCATCACAGAAGACATTTCTGAATTGCTGCAAATACTTTATTGTGTATATTTTCATCCTGCAAATAAGACTTAAAGCCTGATGTGTATTAGAGTTCATTTATAGGTAATTTAAGAACAGTTTTTCATATAACTTAGTGTTAGCTTTTCTTTTTTATTGTGCAGTGGTTGTTTGGAGATGCTCTGCTGTTGAAAAGATGATTTCAATGTATGCTAGCAAAAGAAAAAAAGAACCTGGCTGTTTCTGAATTACACTAAACATGCTTGTAAATTTTATGTGAGTACCATGACATATCCATGGGCTTTCTATATTCATAACACAGACCTTCACAGTTCAACCCGCATGCCACAGCTCTTCTTTACAAGAAATATGATTTTGGTTTCTCTGGTGTTAGTTCAGCCTGAAACTCAACTGCGAGATGTCTGGAATTCCTGCAACTGCTGCTGCAGAGAAATTAACTGTTAATTTGCAGCCCTTCTTACCAAATTAGCAGGAGATAAGGTCAAAGGATGGAGACAACAAGACAACTGCATCAATTATGAAGGTAGGAAAAGGTAAGAGTGCAGAATAGATGCTGACTTTTATCAGTTAATGGTAACAAATTCATCACCAGATTCCAGCCTATGCTGTTAGAAGAGCCTCATTAAGTGTTTTGCAGCTCTCAGGGGGAAAGTGTAATGAGAGTTAGAGAACTGTCCCTTTTCTTTGAGAAGGCACTGGCCTTGTGTTACCCCTCTGCATAGAAAAGCAATGACTGTTCAAACGAAGCTCACTCCACCACCCTGGACCTTCAAGTTTCAGCCAGAGAGGCTTGGGATACTGGGAGACCTCAAGCCAGCCTGCCCACCTTCCACCCAGAGGAGCTGCACAGGGAAGAAACTAATCCCTTCATCTCAGAACCCATTGCACAAGCAAGACCAAGTTGGAGCAGGGTCTACTTTATCTGTCCAGCAAGCAAACACAATGCGCTCCTTGGGCTAAAGGCCCAGACGGTGTTGTAAATTTTCTGCCAAATTGGAGATGGCAGAAAACTCAGGATAAAAACACTGCTTTGTATGAGGGGCATGACTTTAAAATGCAACTGGAATGCTTTTTACCTCTAGCATGAATTTCACTATTAACCTGTGGGAGGAGGCTTTGGGCAGGCAAAGCTGTTCAGTGATGCTGCACTGATTCTGCGCTGATTCTTTGCTTCCTTTTGTGCAAAATATGTAATTTTTTTGTGACTAGGATCCTGGGATTAATGTAAATGTTTCCCTAATGGAGCATTTTGCCATTTAAGACACCGACCTCTGCATTCTCTCTTTGAATATACCTTGGTTTTGAATTGTATAAAATGTATCATTTAACTAATAATGTGAGGAGGAAAGTGGGGCTTGGACAAAGGGGAAAGCACAGCACGGTACCTGATCATTTTATGTTAGCAAACCATGGTCTCGGAGAGCTTTGCAATATTCAGTAAATTAATCGTACAGTGTGCAGTAAGGAAGGATTGTCTCAGTCACACCTCTGTGACTCTGCGGATTTACATATGTGCAGATAAAGGCAGACTGGAGCTGACAAAGATGACTTGATTTTCCAAGGTTATGGGACACTCAAATGAGCTGTCACTGAAAACCAGGATCGTGGTGCTCTTATTACTATAATACATAATAATTATGTCAATTAAATACTTGAATAAAGACGTATTATGGCAATATTTTTAGGTGATGAAAAGTCATGACCATGCGCTCTTAGATGGCAGTTAAAACACTTCGTATAAAGGTTCATATTCTTTCAGAGATGCAAAATGACAGGATAGTTTTCCAAGTGAAAATCCAGAGAAGTAGAAAGCAGATCAGCAACTTTTCACATCACACTTTTTACTGATAGATGTTTGCCTGCTCTCGAACTTATTTACTCTGGAAACTGTTAGATAGCAGGACCTAGACTTCTTCACTCAAACAATTCCACATCCTTGTAATTGATATTACAAATCCTATGTTTCAGCTTAAACTTCTTCACTTTATTAATACAAAGATGAGATCAGAGATGGGCAACATCTTTCATGAGTTTGCTCTGAAAATCTCTGCAGCAAACAAATTGTGAAGTCTAACTTTTATGTCTTTACTCAGTTTCAGCTTTCATGAAATCTCCCTCTGATCCTGAGAATTAACTTGCCTTCCATTTTCTTCTGCCACCACATAAAAATGCACATAATGCAATATAAAATTCACTGGGGTAATTAATAAGGAAGTCCTTGCTGATGCTTGGCTCAAAAGGAGTAAAATCTGGTTTGTTAGCTTTCCACAAGCTCTCAAGAGGTTATTATTCCCTTCTGATCCTCACCTAGAGTGCTACTTAATTAAGAGTAAGTATATAAAAAAAGAACAAAACCACCAAAATTTAATTGAATTCACATTTTCAGGTACACTAAAATCAAGCAAATGCAAGCAGGCAAACATGGTCCCACTTTGAAGATCAGTGATACTGAAAACGGTTTCAAGCTGAGAGTTTTTCATCTGTGAAAGTTATGATCTGATAGAGACATCACAAAGAATTTCTCCGCACACATAACCAAACTCAATGCTATGCAGTGTGGCAGGCTAACTGCTGAGGACAGAAACCACACTGGTTTGCAAGGACACCCGCACATGTGTAACATGGGGCAGTCAAGCAGTCCCACAAATCAATGACACTACTCACCTACATGCAAGCATTTTGCTGAGTAGAATTATCTAAACAAATGTGATCACAAACCTACTTTTCATCAGAATTGTAGTGATAGGACAAGGGGTAATGGGTTTAAACTTAACCAGGGAAAGTTCAGGTTAGCTATAAGGAAGAAGTTCTTTACTGTGAGTGTGGTGAGGCACTGGCACAGGCTGCCCAGAGGAGTGTCAAATGCTCCATCTCTGGCAGTGTTCAAGGCCAGGTTAGACAGAACCTTAGATAACATGGTCTAGTATGAGGTGTCCCTGCCAATGGCAGGGGGATGGAACTAGATAATCTTAAGGTCCTTTCCAACCCTAACCATCTTATGATTCGGTGAATCCCATCATGCTGGGACAAGCGTTGTGTCCACAGCAAGCCCATATAGTCCTTGGTAGTAGTAAAATGAAGCCTAAAATTTGCTCGCTATAATTGAAGAGTATGTTTAGTGGATGACTGTTTCCATCACTCAGCACAGCAAGTAAAATTTACAAGGTGAAGAAGCATTTTACAGAGGTCAGGCTCTCTATCTCACTGTTGTCCTTTTAAAGTTATTATCATTCAATTTTTCCTAATGTAACCTCTTGACTCTGTCACCTATCCCATGTCCCCTCCGCTTCATGCTTGTAAGTGGATACTTATACATGAAGTAGCCAGTACTTAACTGCTAATACAAGTGGTAAAGAAATCCCACTTACTTGCACCTTTAAGCAGCAGTTGTTCCTCTTCCTTCAGCCTGTTCTGCATAAGACAGAGCATGTTTGCTGCTTCCTGCAAAAGGTAAAACCAACTGAATTAGAACAGCTGCCATGTTGGTCAGTCAAGTAGCTAACTGGAGTCACACAGGGTACTCAGAGGTAAATGAGAATAGAACATTTCAGCATTAAAAATATTTTAGGAAAAAAGGGTCTTCATTGAAAAAATGGGAACTCCTACTTACTTTGCCCACAAGGGTCAGAATATAAAGAGTATACCCAGGTAAAGAGTACACTGAAAATCAACCATACATTCCCACCAGCTGAAACCTCACTGAACACATTGAAAATGAGTTTATCTTCCTTCCACAGAAAATAAAGGCTGTTTATGGAACAGAAGTGTCTTTCTTTGGAAAGCAGGCTTTGGTAGTTATTTTCAACCTATTGGTTGAAATGGCTGCAGCTTCATAATACACAAGCCAAACCAGGATAAATTCACACTTTTCCAAGCATGCAAACAAAACAGGAGCCAAATGCCCAACCAATAAGCTGGAGAATTAGAGCTGTATACTACACTACAGTATTTGCAAAAGAGAATCATGACAACAAGACTGCACAAGGTGGTTTGTTGAATTTCTGTTGTGAATATAGCAGACTGTTAGATAAAAATATGCTGAGAAACACTACTGTAATGACAGGTGATGAAGTTACATCACGTGCAGTGCAGAGCAAGTGGAAAAGGTGGGTAGAGCAGTGGCTGCCTTGCTGAGGAAGAGGAGCAATTCACAAGTCTCAGCCCATTCAAATGAAGGCCAATAATGATAAAAGAATGTTACAAAAAAGCCCACAAGGACTTACAAGACATGTGACAGCCCAGAAGGGAAGAAGCAAACCGGTGGCAGCAGGGCAGCAGCAGTTACAACAGACATTCTCATTAGAGCATAATGGATTAGTAAGAAAACAAAGATGGCTCTGTAGACAGTAACTGATTAGATTAATTTTAATCTTCTGGGATGCATGCACTTGCAGATCATCATGGACCAGGTAGACTAAAGAACTAAAGAAACTATGTCACTACTGAACACTACAACGTAATTGTAAGAGGCGTTTCACTGAGCTCTTGAAGTTCTCCATCCAGTTAGGACTAAAATCTAGCAAAGACACCAAGAGACCAAATTTTAGCAACTAAGGTTCATGATTCCAATAGCAGCATCTGACAGAAAAATATATTTTTAATGACATCTCAATTAAATTTGGCTAATGTTAATGGTGAATAGCAAATTAAACATGATAGAGTAGGTAAGATACTAATGCAATCAGATTCAGATAAAACCTGCAATACTAAACAGGTGGCAAACAACTGCTGGAAGGATTTAGCTACAAATTTTGCTAATTTTAGTCTTTTCAATTCCAGTCAAGCAAGACAAGTAGATGGAAAAGGTAATTAACTGTGGATTGAACTAAGGTTGTTCTGAGTCTTTGATTTTTCTGTGCAAAATATGCTTATAATTAAAAACACCAGCTGCTTTGACATGGTCAAATTTGCACATTTATAGTGCTTGTCCAGAAATTAAACTGATTCAGTTGGAATGGGACAGAGGGAAGAAAGAGCATCTGAAAATGCTTGAATGGTTAACAAAGAAGGTTACCTGCCTCCTCTCCATCCACACTGTTGACCATGACACAAGTGACCTCCATATAGCAGGAATACGTCCACACAGAGCCTGCAAACCTGCACAGCTCAGTTCCATTGAGAAGAAGGGTAACCATTGCACAGACTAACATTTTCCATCCCCCTCAGTGTTAGCAAAGCCTTTTAAAGACTGATGGAAGTTGAAAAGAATTTGAACATGAGGCAAAATCCTTGGAGGTTTCTAGCTACCAGTGTTTCCTTCAGTCTCTATAGCACATGCTGACTCCAAGAGCTCCCTTCACAACTGTGGATCCCAACATTTTCTGACTGAGCCTCACAGTTGCTATCTTCTTCATACAATCATAAAATCCCAGGGTGGAAGGGACCTCAAGGATCATCTGGTCCAACCTTTCTAGGCAAAGCCTGATCTAAGCTAGATGTTCCAGCACCTTCTCCAGCTGAAGCTTAAGTGTCCAATGGTAGGGAATCCACCACTTCCCTGGAGAGATTATTGCAGTGGCTGGTTGTTCTCACTGTGAAAAATTTTCCTCTTGTGTCCAGCCAGAATCTTCCCAGGAGTAACTTGTGACCATCACCCCTCCTCTTTTTTCATGTGATTCCTTGTAAAAAGGGAGTCTCCATCTTCTGTGTAGCCACCCTTTAAATACTGGAACGTATTACTTTCCCTACCTCTTCTTCCCTATCTTGTTTCTCACAGTCATAAAATTTAAAGATTTAAACAAATGATTTAAACAAGTCTTGCCCCTGCCCCAGCAAACATTTGTCATACAGCCTTGCCATCGCTATGTCTTTGGGAAAATGGGCTAAGCAAGGGATCAGCCATCACAGCCCTAACAGTGCATATGGCAAAGAAAAACTACAGGGAGGAAAAAAGAAAGGATGTTTCCCAAATGTCATGGGGACAAATTCATTTCTGAAATGTTCACAGACAAGTGAAATAATGGGGACAGATATAATCACTGCCTAACACTGTAATTCCAGGCACCTGTCAAGGCAGCTGAAGCTGGCAATTCAAATTCAGTCAAATAAGCAGTCACCCTGCCCTGCACCCTGGACCCTTGCTCCTTTCCTTCCATTACTCTCCCTCCCTGATGTAAGCATTTGTACAGCAACACAAAAGAAATCTGATGAAAACTAATCCATCAGAACAAAATTAAGGAAGGGAAACTTCCACTGCAGTTCAGCATGGGGCTACACAAATTCCTGACTGGCACAACAGAGGATGGGATGTTGCAGCTGTGGGACAAACAGCAGCAGCAAGAAGATGAGCTACTGCTTGTTTCAGCTTCTGGGCTGGTTTACAGACCTAAAATACAAGAGAAATTAAGTCTAAGAAAATGGTTTAACCATATAGGTGAGCCACTTTTGACCCTTTCTTCTGGCCTTTTACTTGTGGTGCTGCCAGCACCTCCGATGATCTCAGAGCAAGTCAGCCTGGAGACATAACCAGCAGGAAAAATGCTGATTTTTCTACTGGTTTAGGTTTCTGAATAATTCAATGCATGGTCAGTCAAATGCTGCAGCCAGCCCAAGGGAGCTGCTGAGCCTGTATGTCTTTTAGCTGTCCTGCCAGACTACACCCTGCAAGAGCTTAGCAAATACTGCAGCAACAAAAACTGTTTTAAAAGGGCAGCCTCAAGCCAGTTGGAACCAGGACAGCAATAGTCAAGTGCTGTTTACAGATCTTAACAAGGAAGATCTTCAAAGGAGGGAGCAGAAGCAATGGCAGATCATCTATCTAGCAAGTAACAATTATCATTTTTTACAGTTACACCTTAAAAGAATCTGCAGAGCAATCTTAGATCTGTTAAATTAGTGAAAGAACTACAAGAGCTTTATTGCTTCAAGATTTTAGGTTTAAAACTAATGGCAACTTTTAAACAGCTGAGTCAGTGGCAGCTTCAGGCTCTCTTTCTGCCTGCTGCTTTTAGTGATGGTAATCATCAGGCTGCATCTTCTGACTTGACTGGCTTCCACCTTGGCTGCAGCCACCACTCCCCACACTTCACTGTCTCTTAACAGAATGGGTTTATATCAGCCCTGGGAAAGCAAGACCATGCTAATCAGAGATGTCCTTCTGGTTTAGGCTGGCCTGTTCTGCATGACCCAGGGTTTCTGACACGTGACAAGGGAGAACAGCTGAGGGCATGATTGAGCGTAACACCAGGGATGCTCTTTCAACACATAACATTGTACAAGGGACTAGCTCTGCACAGGACAGCAGTCATGTTTTGTGGGTGGAGCGTCAGGCTGACAGCTCCAGGAAACACAAGCAATGGCCTTTACCTCGTGAAGCACCTGTGGGGAAGTGGCTGAGTGGCTTAGAATGTGGTATGAGCAAGAGCCAATATCCCAGCACCCTGCTCTGTCTCTCCATTAAGCAAACAAGACTGAAACGCTGCAGGCAAACACAACATGTATCTTACTCTACAAGCAACTTTGCCCAAATACACTGGGGAATCACGATGTCAAATTAACAGAATTAAAGTGCCCATTGACACAAAACTGGAGCAAACTGCCTCGGAGTCAGCTCCCAGGCATTGGAGCACACCAGAAATTGAAGCTGAAAATCCTGCTTTAGAGGCAGATAGATCTCTGCTGAAACAGAACCTTTCCTCCTGTGTTTCATATACTACGTAGCCTTTTCTAGGTGTAAACCTGCCTCTAGCATACTCTGCAAACCTAGAATAGACAGCCCAGTGTAACAGGCAGCAAGGCAGTTCCTGTTGCTAACATGTAGACCCCCCAGAACAACCTTCTCTCCAAGGGACCTCCAGAAGTCCCCAGCCCAACCTCCTGCTCAAAGCAGGATCAGCAATGGGATCAGACCATGGCGCTCGAGGCTTGAGCTAGTGGGCTCTTCAAACCTCCAAGCAGAGCGACCAATCAACCTGTCTGAGCAAATCTCTTCTGATTCCTGACTAATCAAACAGTGAAAAAGTTTCCTTTATCAAGTCAACTTTTTTTCACCCCTAATATAATTTGTCCATACTTTTTAGCACAAGGCTTCACGTCAACTTAGTCACCAGCTTTCCATAGCAGCCATCTCATCTTGTGACACTCAAACAAATGGTCTCTGGGGCAACAGGAAAGAAAGAATCCTTTTGTTGAGATACTAGAACAGACAAAAGCTGTTAAAACAAGTACATTACACCCGTGTTTATAATCAACTGTGCTTTTTTCACACCCATTTACCTGTCCAATTCAGCAAATATACTATCTGTCTTCTACAGCACATTGACTGCGCTAAAGACAAATGTACAGGTTTTGTAGAATGGAGTTTGAATGAGCCCAACACAGGTACTCTGCATCTCAAATCTACATTAACTGGCAAAGCAGATGGATTTCCATCTCCTATCTGACTCTGAAAGTCTTCGGAAAAGAGCAATAAAACACCACACATGGCTGTTTGGCAGAATATT